TGATTTTGAAGTGACTGTGCGGATCCTAGCGCAGGAATCGAAAACATCAACGCGCAAAACTCTTGAGGCGTTTTGGATAAATTTCAAAAAGCCAAAGATGAACCGGAAGGACGAATGCCTCACTATCACGCGTGGCCTGGCGTCCTATTTCAAAATGATATTTTGACACCGGGGTGCGCCTTGCTCGCGATCCCGCGTGAACTATGTGTGGGCCAGTTCCGCACGTAACATCACGGTGAGTGGCCTTTCTGTTCAATATGGCGTCTATTTGAAAGTTTGATCTTCATTGACACTTTAACCTTTCTTTTCCACCGAATAATAAAAATATTCTAATATTAAATACGTCCAGGCTCTGAGGAAGGCGAAGTCGCCGAAACCTCAGCCATCGATCAATAACATCAAAAACAACGACAACGAAGATCTGTACCAACCTCGCGTCAGCTTAAGAAGATCAGTTTATAAGCTCACACGAATAAATATATCAACTGATTACGAGCAGTTGCAACATTGTACCAATGACCTTCCTGTCTTCAGAAACGTTTGTTCTTCTGGGTTAGGCTTAGATGCACCAATTCCTGGCTTGAGAAATTATGTGGCGAATATCTGAGCTTTGTTGTTATCTCACATAAACAGGTTTCTTCTGGCAGTCCACTGTTGTTTTTCACTGTCTCCGCGAAAATGATTATTTTGAAATTTTGTGGCAAAACTTCATGGCTAGCTTTCAAAAGTAGTGGCTTCATAATATCTTCTCGTCGTAATCACCATCTTGTTCAAATTTTCATCCAGACCAATGCACCTATGGGACCGCAAATTTGCCTGATAGCGCGTTCCCAGATCAGGGATCAGCAAGTAAATCGATATTGCTTTTCTTTGATTTTCAATTATATCGTGTGAAACCCGTGCTGTACTCTGAGCTTTTCTGATTCATTGACTTAGTGCTAATGTTGGGTGTTCGTAGCCTAGTTGTATCCCTACAATGACAGGACAGGTTCTAGTTGGATCGTGAACAAACAAAGCTTCCCATCGGTGTGGGGTCAAGAAACTGGTACTAAGTTTTCTGGAAATCTCCCTGTAATCCACAAAACTCGATGAGCGCTTGTTGTGTAAAGCTAAGAACGTTGTAGCCCTGCTTCTAGGCTTTCAAGGGTTAGTCCCGGGATTCCACGTAGAATCGACTCAGCCGGAGTTCAAAAGATTTCATAAAGAAGAAGAAAATTCTTAAGCAGCAATCAAATTTACGCTCAAATCCGAAAACTTTTGTAAATGATGAATGTGAGAAAATGAATCGAATGGAAGTAGTGCTGAGATCCGCGCAATATATGATATCGGGTCACGTTACAAATAAACAAAAAAGTAAATATAAATGTTGAACAACTAGTAGTTGGTAAGTAGTCGTTTCGTACAAACTCTTTGCTCCTCATCGGAAAAAAAATGTTTCGGAACCCAATGGGAATCGTTGTGTATTTGGGGGACTACAGACAGGAAACGTTCTGCATATGAGGGAGTACTAGATGGAGCCTCTTCACTTGGCAGCGCTTCACTTCGTTCGATTCGTCTTCATGCGATTGCGAAGATCCACATGATAAGAGTCAACTTATGTGGACATTCGCATCTAATCATCTTGGCTCAGAATAAGGCAATTTTCACTGTTCCTGACGGTGTTGAACACTAATGTTCACATGACTCATCTATAATAAACATCGGAAATTTAGTGCCTTCAAGCCAAAGTAAACACTCAGTTGAATTCATATTATTGCTCAGCAAACACGAGGAGTTATTTTATTTCTTTATTTATAAGCAAGGAGGTGGGTAACACAGTGGTAGTGATGACCGTCAGCACGAGTATGGCGCTAGTTTGATTCCGCTCTGGGCCAACCAACCCGCTCATCCCTCCGGGGTCGGGATATTGGTACCGGACTCGTCTGGGAAAAAAATCACTCTCTGCAATCCAGCTGGGAACGCTCCATCCCTGCTATCTCAGGATTGCACAGAGAATTGCTCGACCAACGTTCTACGACATTCGATATAAAATGAAAATTCTCAAGCAGCAACCGAAGCCACATGTAAAGCCGGATGATCTTTGCGGGCGATGGATGCGAGGAAACGAACTGAATGTGAGAAGTGCTGTGATCCGCATAGTAGACGTGAAGACAGGTCAAATGCAATTATTAAAAAAAGATAATTAGCCAACTGACGTTCCAGTGGATTTGGCCTTAATAGAAGGCCCTTAATAGAAGACGGTTTCACCTTCAATGATCGAAAGCTGCGGAATGTAGTAAGGACAAGATTCTGGTCATTAGTGTGACGCCTGCAATCTAGATTGCTAACCCCTAAACGATCTGCAATGATGCAATATCACTTAACGCTAGCAATCACAGCTAGTTGAAATATACAATAATATCACTTCTACTTCGCCACTATTATTGTTAGAAAAATGTTGTATCGACTCAACAATATTTGTGCAAAAATTTCAATGGTGGATTATTTAACCCATTAACTGCAATACAGTAAAAGCCGTTGTTGCTTTAAACAAGATGGATTTCGGCCAGTCAACTTGTAGAGAACGGCTTTGATAGTTTTACTTCCGAGGTGATTTCAAACTCTCAACCATGTATCACAGGGCTTGATATTTGTTAGCAAAACTATACTTCCTACTTCGACAAGCGTGCTAAAGATGTCTCGACGATTTGAGAATGTAATACCCTTGCGATATTCCTTAAGAAACGAAGGTTTGGTATTTGTAGTACCCATTCTGATAAATCTGTCTGTACTTCCATACAGTAACACACATACAACACTATCGTAGCTGACGTTTCGGCAGTGTCGTCCTATTCAGAGCCTGGAAAGGTATAGTGATATGTAATTTACTATGTGAAACGCTTCAATAACACATGCAGAAAGATGAGAATCTAATTGGCAGTCACATGGTTAACGGCTTCTCGAAAATAATCCAATGCCGAGGATAATAGAAAGTCGATCCTGAGTTCTGTCTGTGCTTTTCAAGTTTTGCGATAAACTGTAAACTCAGCTCAAATTTCGTTCGCTATAATAAGTATGAGTATTTTTGTTCTAACTGTATGTAAAATACAAACTCTCTTGAATAGATTATCGCATAAGGGCTGTAAATTGTGCCCGCCGGTGATGCAATATTTTCAAACGCGATTTGTCAGTTGCTTGTGGTCATACGTTCGTTACTGGTATTTCTGTGCGATGGTGTTGTCCATGACGAAGCGCCAGACACGCCTCTTCCCTGATCGCGACCAGTCTCATCTTTGGGGTGCGCTCGTTCATCCTGAATCGGTATATATACTACATCCTGGTAGCGCGACAAAGCTATTCATCCCTATCCAAATTTGTCATCATGGTAAGCTCTACTACTGACTTCTAATAAATTTCTGCTTTTCGAAGTATTATGTGCGCAAAAACTAGTGTTACACTCATTGTTTTCTTTCTGAGAGATGTTTTTGTAAACCGCAATAGTAACTTTTTATACGACCTAATAGATAGTATCGCCTTGCTTTAGTGCAGTTTCCCACTTTCAGAAAGGCGCTTTGTTGTTGGCGTTTGTTGCTGGATCGTGGGCAATTCTTTTCCCGGCCGGTGGTGGTGGGGGTGGATGTGGTGGTGGCGGTGGATGTGGTGGTGGCGGTGGATGTGGTGGTGGCGGTGGATGTGGTGGTGTATGTAAAAGGAAGAATTAGCATTTCTGCTAGGTGTCTCTTCGTTTAGAAATGATACCTCTAAGTTCAGGACACGTCTTGTTTTCCAACTCCACCGAGGCTTCAATGTCAAAGAGCTTGTTTTTCATTCCCGACATTGGCGGTACGTAGAATTATTTTTTTATAATTTATTTGACATATAGAAAGTTTTTACAAACATATATATTCGTGTTTTCAACTATTTTGAGCTTTTTTCACTGGTAACAGTATGAAGATCTTAGCACAAATAGGCTTCCTAAATATAAGTTAAAGCTTAATCCCTTGGTTTAAGTACAGGTAAAAATTGAAGAACTGATTGAAATACTGGAAAAACACATTTACTCTACCCAGTTGATCCAAGTGTAATCCTAATTGAACACTTTCAAGTTGCCTCCTCCACCTAATCCATGCGGTAAACGTAAAAAGAGAGCAGTCGATGGTGACGAAAAATGTACTGATCCAGAGCTACGAAAGCTTATCCTTGCTGTACGTTTTCTCGTGGAAAATAAAAATAAGAGGATAAAATTTTTACGGATACATTTTCACTATAGATTACAACTACATTCATTTTGCTAAAAGTAGTTTATAGGCTGTGCGTAACGACTTGAACGAATCCCGTAATAATATTGTCGATGCCTTGAAAGAAAAACACGGTGAAGGTACACAGTGAGTCTCATGGTACACTTGCATAAGCTGTATATAAAATATATAAAAAAATGGCTTTTGGTCACTTCGGTGACTTCAATGGTAAGTCGTAAGTGGAAAGCATGAATCAGAACCTGCACACAGAGTTTTGAAAACGAGTACACCAAGTTGTCTGTTGAGGAAGGAAGATTTCCAGTTGAACCGTACTCAATTTCCTACTAATTAGACTTAATCTTGTCACAGTCACACAGCTATGTTCCCAAATCTAGAAGACCGTTTTACATCATACGCATTAATGAGAGCAATTTTTTAAACAATGTTGATCAGTACACTGTAACACCATCGTATTATGATGGTAGAAAATACGCCAATGGTGTGGCGTGCACCCTAGAAATGAGCTAAAAATAAAATCTTTTGACTCCGTGTGTTTCATTCAAGAACGAAAGATGATGACATCCAGAAACTCTTGAACATTTCCCAGATTATCGTTTGGTGCACGTAATCCGCTTTTAGGAGTCTCGAAATTTACAATATTTCAGGTACTCGGTGTCGTGCGTAAAAGGTGAAGTGGTTTTCCAGTCATCGGCGGACGACTTCTGTTCGGATGGAACGTCACATATAACATGTCTTGTGGTACTGTAGTCAATAACACACTGTTAAGAACGCAAATATTTTAACAACGATCTGGGGTTCTAGTAACTTATGCTCAAAAACTCATTGCTCAATTACGTATACAATAAATATTAACCACTTTTTATTAAAAACATTGCTTATATCGTTATGTGACCTTTACATGTTATAAAGGTTGCCGAGCAAGAGTATAATAAATACTAAACTTTTTGTGCAGAAAGACTTGCAAAGCGTCAGTTAGAAAACAGACCCTATAAATTACAAAGGAGAACGAAAGATGAGAACAAAGAGAAAATGAAGACAATAATAAGCGTACCGCTTCTGATCCTGTTGCAGATCGAGGAACTGCAATTAGGCACCGCTATAGTACGCAGTTCACCAGAAAGCCAACACTACATAGAACTGGAGCTTTGAAGAACCCGACACCAACGATGAGGATGCTTTTCTTTTGCTTTTTGCTTTGGGCTACCTACAGGTAGTAGAATGGACGGAATCCACTGTAACGAGCTCCGCTTACCTACGATTAGTTTGGCAAAAAAAAATTAAAAAAGAATAAAAAGCAAGCAGGTAGCCCATTTCGTTGAAGCAGCCCTGAACATCCTCTCCTATCTCCGTAAGCTCATCACTTCAATGCAGCTACACGGCAAGGTGATTGATGAATAGTAGCTCTTCAATCCCATTACTGTCATTTGATGGACAAGATTTGAAGAAGTACGAAAACAAGGTGGAGAAAAGATTTGCAGGAAAATATGGAATACCATGAATTGGACAAAAGCCACCGCTACTGAAGGTGCTTGTTAGTGAAATTAAAATAATACATAGAAGTTCAAGAGCTCCTCGCTCCTACAATTCATTCGACCTTTAAAATTCATAAATTCATCAAAAAACGTGAATAATATGTGTTTCCGAAACAATGTGCGCGTGTAACGTATTGGTTAGATGTGTCCTAGAATACACAAGTGGTCGAAAGTTCGATCTCCAGCCCTGAGTTCACCAAGCCCTCTATCCCCCCATGGTCAGCAAAATTGCACTAGACTCGTTAAGAAGATAACAAACGTTGACTTTTTGTGTCAGTAAGCCACCGCAAGAACGACGCTTAATGAAATCGAAAGCGCTTCGCTTCCCTCAGCGAGTGGTCAGTGCCTTACATTTTATTTTTTTATCCACCGAGCAGAATATTAGAAGAAAACTGTTATTAAAATCTATACATAATTTGTGTTCATAACAGAATAAGTAGCATGTTACAAGCGTTATCTTATTAGATGCGCAGTTCTTATGCCGTATGGTTAAATGGTGGAACGATTGGTGTTGGTCGTTGCTAGCAATTCTACACTCATGAAAGATAGCATGACGTTCGCATTATACTGGTTGACCATCTACAGCACTGAGCTGGTTGATTCGCCAATCACAATGTGATCAGACGTAGTGAATTGTTCTTGAAGCTCTAGTAGGCAGGAGTGTATGAAGTAAATTACACTAAAAGTCGCAGTAAATTGGAGGTTTTGCAAAACAAAAAGTATGCAACTTCTACAAAACCAGAACATTCTTTTATACTTAAATGATCCAATAACATATTTTCTTACATAACTGAGCTAACACGTAGTTGTCATAAAGAGTTTGTTTGGCTCACGCTTCGGCACACTCCCTTCTTCAGAGCCACCATCACTAGAAACCACCGTAGAAGGTGGTTGTCCTCGCAATATGGGTCTTCGTCGTTGCGTCTAGTGAAATCTTCTTATGTACAACACGGCTCGGACAAAGAACCTCACTCTGCAGTACACTTTATACACAGTTGTAGTCGATCTACTGTCTCCCACTTCGATCTATTTTCGTGGTGGCAATACGCCTCACACGAGTCACTATTATGACACTCTGGAAAAGGCGAACAGGCCAAAACGTTGGTCGGACAAAATTTTCATATAATGCTTGTATCGGTTTAATAATCTAGAGAACTGTTGAACATTCTTATTAAGATTAAATGAAGGTCGGTTGCTAAGATATTCTGGGATCACACTGTGCTGTTCCTAACACTTTTTCTATTCGATTCGTATTCTCACATTCGCAAAACCTGAAGGCATGTTTGGATTTGGACGCGGCCTTGGCTGCTGCTTGAGGATTATTGGTCTTTGTCATAAATATCGTTGAAAAATGGTGGGGTCGTTTCCTCTTGGAGTGCTCAGATAGATCTGATGGAGCTCTAAGCAGATAAGTCTGCTACCAATTCATCGAGCTCAGAACGACCTGGCTATCTGGTTGTCCAGATGCGGTATCGAATCATTTCGCATATAACTGAGCAGCTCTAACCACTGCGCTGTTTGGGCATCAATGCAGCAGTATTCGGAAAGAGAAGAAATGTAATGTCATAAAATAGAGTTGTAAGTAATACAAAATTCTCATGGTTTAAAGACTTACTCCTTTACGATGCAGCTAAAATGGGGAATCAAAGCAAAGAATGACCCGACTGATTTTGTGGTTACAGATTGTCCATTAATGATTTTCGTAAAAATCAGACATTCTTATAGAACGAAACTGTTTACGTTGTGTACCTTATCAGCGTTGAAGCAAATTCAACTGTTTTTGTAACTTTATTCCACATCATTCGGTAACTTTTCGACGACAACCAAATGATCATAAAAATAAAGTTACCACTAAATCTAACAAGAAATTGAGATTCATTAATCATCAAGAAGAAAAGATTGGTCACATTTGAAAGCATTTCGATAAAAGCTGATTCATTTACAAAACGTACGGAATCTTCTTCTCCATCGATGCACTGTCACTACGGTGGCATTGGCTAGCTCACTTAATGATAAGGTTGAATGGTTCATGCATTGTAGTCAGTCCATTGATTTCTGTATAAAGAATGTTGATGATAGCAGGTTTCAAGTGTACATTGAGATGAGATCGAACGTGAAACCTAAAAAGCCATCTATATGATAAGAAACGAAATACACTCTTAAAAGTACGGCACTAAAAAGACGGTACCTTCTGAAATTCAGGAGGATTCATCAGAGTAGCAGTTGGATTCGAGTACGTTCGTGTCAAACTCTGAGAACAACAAACTGACGCAGGAGTATGCATATAGTCATTCGCGTAAAGATACTGAGAAGACGACTGTGATGGATATTCCATGCTAGCCCTCGTAAGTGGGAACTTCGTGGTGGAATGAGGAAGTTGTTCAGCTGCTAAGTTATGACCGGATTTTGATGTACTTGGGCACTCTGCTGGAGGAGTTTGTTCGAACTGAAATACTATAAGAAAGTTGAATACAATTTCGATTACATTACCTCTCAACTGGATCTTATCGTAAAAATAGTAGCAATATTGAACATGGCATGATTATCTAGTGTAGAAGACACGAATAATAAACAAATATTCAACTTAACCTTCAACTAGCAAAAAGCAGTTTCTGAAAACCGATAGACATCAATTTAATTCTATGTTTACCCCAAGACATCTCAAGTCGTCAAACATCTCCGTCAAAATGTAGTTGCCTGGTGGATGAAGAAGTTTAAAATGTTGTGGACCATCTTCGACAGGATTTGTCATAGAATACGGCCGTTTCTATAAATATTCCAAAATTTACTATCAAGTAAAGGCGTAGGCGTAGACGAGGAGAGGAGCGGCTCGGAAAAAGCTATCGTGATCTTTACTGAATATGACAACTTCTCAGGGAGAAGAAAAACACTTGGAGAAAAATCCATTCTGCTCTACAAAGATTCCAAAAAAACCTTTAATGTTCTCAGTTGTGGATGCAACGTATAATCAGGATCGGTTTGTGTATGTTTCTCACAACGACTGCCTGCCACATCGTTCTTAGCGATGGACAATCCTGCCAATTCTTTTGTGTCCTCTTCTGAAAATGGCTCCACCAGATAGCACCTGAATTGCCCTTAACTATATTCTTTAATATCGATTAATACCTGTCGGTATCTCTGTCTATTCTAAGGTGGATTTGCCACCAAAACTATTATTAAAAGCCAACGGACGCTAATTTTGCTGCTATTAACTGCGTTGTTAATGAGTACGAAGGTGGCCGAAGCGAAAATTTCCACACTGCCAATTTAATACACTCCATGAAAAGGCACATACCCTCCGAATTGCTTGTCGTTGAGATCGTTTGGCGTACCACTAAAATTGAAGAGTAGGTCAGAAGATCGAATAATATTGCTGTTAAAACCGACTTGGAAACGGTAATACGTCTTTGGGACCACCATTAATATTGCGAGCGAGAGCAAATATTGAAGTGTTAGATTTGAAAAAGCAAAAATATTTTGGTCGGCAAGGACAAAGTCTTCAGTATAATGAGGAAGTCATTCATATTTCGAAACCGACTTTCCTTTAACCTCAATGTGACTAATCTAATTATATGTATTCTTTTTTGATGAGCTTACACGAGGTTGATAAACATGTTTATTTTCGGCTAACGTTTCGACGTCTTCGTCTTCCTCAGAGCCGATGATCCGAGTCGGTGGTCCACGCTTGTTATTCGTCTCGACGTGGCAACTTCGCCTTCGTGTCGAGTCAGGTCTTCTTCAGTGAGCCATCTCCTCGAATGAGGCACACTCATTTAGTGATGCCCTTTTATACACGATGCTGATGGTCGATATAACGATAATGTCCGGTGACAAAAACTTGTTTTTCCTCCGGACAAATATATTATTAAAAAAAGAGAATAAATAAATATATTTATCAACCTCGTGTAAGCTCATCAAGAAAGTATACATATGTCATTCATAGTTTCAAATTTGTTGATGAGCACGCACAAACTGTCAGTAAAGCAATTATTTCATATTGGATAATGTTTTCGCGAACTTCATCTTCTTCAGAGCCTAGAAATGGCCAAATAGATAGTAGAAAACACTGAGTTTAATGAAACTCCGAGCTGTGAGTACTTGCAAAAAGGGCGCGTGTAGCGCAGTGTTTAGACATGAGAACATACAATGGTCGCTGACTCGATCCAGAGCACTCCGCCCACCAAATACTCCATCCTTCCAGGGTCGACAAAGTATTACCAGATTTGTCTGGACGGATAGCACTGGCTCGATACACCGGTGGACTTCCGCCAGTCATTGTGAAGACCAGATGTGCATTCAGTCATGTCCGACGATGTTTTGTGAAGTTGATTGCATGACACATCACTTAGCAATTGTTCAACTCCAAAAAATCCTTCTTATTCACTGTTTTCCTGATGAGCAAACATGAGGCTGTTATTATAGCATTTATTCATTAACAATAGCTGAGTTTCAGCGATTTCGCCTTCATTAGAGCTGGGAAAGATCAAATTGACACGCAATCGACTCAATTAGACGCTTTCATTACCTAAGCAGAAGTTTGATGCATAAATTTTCATTCCCTTAATAAGCAGCTTCTTTTAAACACTCACCGTTTTGCTCTTTGTAAGTCTTCGAATTATTCTATGGAGACCAGTTGCACAGAGTTTTACAAGGGCGAGAAATGTGCCGCGCTCAGGTACTGGGAAGTATCTCGCACAAATGAGAGGGTTAGCATTGGGACAGCGACTGGCACCGAGCCTTGCCATTGTCCTTACTTCTAAGCTAAAAGCACCAGCAATCGATCTGTGGCCATTATATAATGCTACTGTAGGTGTATAGACGACCGTCTCTTTATCCACTCCACAAAAGAGGAGACAGACAAATGTTTTGAATTATTGAACGAACTGTCAAAGTACACAACATTCACCCGAGAAAAACCGAAGGAAAACTGCCTTCCATTTCCGAACGTTAAAATTATTCGAAAACAGCTATATCACCAAATGGTACGGAAACCCAAGTAGGAGCAAAAATATACCGGTTCATTACCTCTACTCTTATTTCTCACACACAAAAAGGGAATTTATGAGAAATGTGTTTCGAAAAGTCACCAGTGTGTGCACAACAAGAGAACAGAAGGAAGAATCCATGAAACTAGTATGGAAAATGCCATTTCTGATTCCTACTAAACTCTAGCTCATTGATATAGGCGGGGAGGAAAACAAGGGCTCCTAACGATAATCACAGCCAGAGCAAAGTCGCGGTTATTTTGCTCTTCATTTCAAATGAAACAAGTGAAAAGCTCTGAAAAAGGTAAAATCGCCTAAACGTCAGGTTTTTTGTTTGAATAAATGTTGTAACAACAACCTCTGTTTGTCTGTGATCAATGCCAAAGTTCTAAATGAACTATCCCCTTTATCCTTTCATTTTTCCTTGAACTGAATCGATATTTTACCTCTAACTGATGCTACAAGAAACCATGCTGTTCATAAATGTCATGTGGCGTACAAAATGCCAAAATTCATCCTTACATCATAACATTTCAACCCCATTTGTTTCCATCCTTTTTTCATGGAGGATATTATGTGCAGTACAATCACAAGGATGTCGTGATATGAGCAAAACTCAGAACCTCAGGTGCGCTTCGAAGACGCGAATATCTTTTCCGGTGCATCACGTGTTATTCACTGCTAAAGTAAAAAATTGCTGAGAGAAAAGCAAAGCAGCCTTGGTTCGTGCAGTGGATAACATGTGAGCCCTATAAAAGGATAATCGCGGGTTCGAAGTGCAACCGAGGCTCCGAGTTTTGGTCATATCTCAGCATCTTTGAGACATGTTCATTTGCATTGTGGAATGCATTGTATTTAATGCACCGTGGATGTTATCTGTTAAAGTGGACCTGTTATAGTATGGACAATTTTTCGAACTTAAGGAAGCGAATAGAAAACATGTTCAAGCACGCACTATTGTTGCTGACGATGACCGAACAAGTAACGCAGTCAATAAGCATTTACAATATGAAAAATATCTGATGGTATCCGCCGTATTATGTTGCTCTAGACTGTGTAAACGAAGCACTACTAAACACACAAACGAATACGGAATTATCGTTGTTAATATAGTGCCTGAGATGATCTGTGACAGTATCAACATTCAATCGTCTGAACGTACCCGAAAAGATCGGTCAGCAACGGGATCCTTCCAGAATTAGAGAATATCTGAGCGAATTGCAGGTTCTCACACATGCTATTCGCCAACATCTGAATTACATGACATGAAGAATGAATTGACGATATTGGATATGGTTTTAAAGAGAACATTTGCTTAATCATCACAAAATTTCGATTATAAAGTTGTGTATAAGTATCGACGACTAAGAACTATAACTCGCTTATCATAGTCCCAGGATCGACTTTCTCTCAACCTCGGCATTGGAATATGATTGTGTCGCTTTCTTGTTCAGCAAGCGAGGTTTTTAAACAGCATACATTTACTTCCATAAAAAACACAATACAATACAACGCTAGCTGACGTTTCGGCAGTACCGATCAGTATCGAACAGTATTGATCATGTAATTACCAAAGAGTCTTTCGTCTTTTTGTAACTGTTACTGAAGCGTTTGGCCTAGTAGATTGTATATCAGTATGCCCTTCCAGGCTCTGAAGAAGGCGATACTGCCGAGACGTCAGCCAGTGTTGTATTGTATTGTGTTTTTCTATGGAAGTAAATGTATGCTGTTTAAGAACCTCGCGATTGATGAACAAAAAAACGACACATTCGCTTATCATATCTATCCCGTCAAAAGTATGCTTTCAACCACAAAAAAGCTGTCGATTCTTATGACTTGGATATAAATGAAATCACCGAAGTAACACTAAATCCAAGAACCAAATAACTGACCGTGACAATGGGTAACGATAGAAGAATGCGTCCAAAACAAACGGCCGGATGTTGAGTACTACGTGCCTCTTTTATGACGACAAACAATGCATCCTCGATTTTATTTCGAAGCTCCAGAATCTTATCGAATGCCTCCACTGATAAATCTCGCGCTACTGTCAAAGAACATTTATTGTTTATATTGCCAAACTCACAACGCTTAATGTCGCAAGCGCAGTTTAAAGGACGATCAACCCTTTAAGTAAAACAGCGCTAAAAGCAAGATAACGGCTAGAATGACAATAACCTTTCTGAGCTAAATGTTGTGCTCCTTCCTATGATGAAGACTTGATAACGCTCAATTCAAGCTATCTGGGGAGAAGAATTCACCCCACGTTTTCATAATCCTCCAAGATACGGTATTCATGATAAACTGTTGGAAGTAAGACGTATTTAAAGGAAGGAGTAACTACAAATTCAAAATGAATAGTCCATCAACAAAGCGTACATGGATTGAGAACGATCAAAGCGCTCATGCACACGATTTCCTCTTCTCGCATTCCATAGGCGCGATATGGCTGAACCAATTCGTCTAAGGCACGATCAACGAGGCCGTTTCCAAGATGACTAAAAAAGGAAGCGAAAAAATCTTATTTTGACCATAATGGGTTAGTTGTGGTCATTACTGTTTATAGCTTCACAGAAAATTATAACCAAACTTTCATTAGAAACCTATAAGATACTGCATACACTAAACGTCCTGCTGACAAACGGATAGAACTTCAAACGAATTATCCTCAACAAATTTACAACGAAAAAATAAATAACTCATTTATTAACAAAGTTCTAAACATTAGTCACCTGGTAGTATCAGAGATCATACCTTAGACCAACATGGAACTCTCAACGAATGGTCACCGAATTCCGGTAGGAGCATCACCGCTTTCCGGATTTTAACGAATCATCAAGTTATATTTTGAGCGCAAGTACACAATACAGAATAAAGATCACTTACTAACTGTCGGAAAATGCCGCGGATATATTTCTCGGAACATAGGAGAAGTTACAAAGACAAAGAATATTTTTGTCCTTTGCCGCCTCAGCAGTTCGGCACGCGAATTTGAACACCATAAGTGGAGCAAAAGCGTTTTTTACCAAAGCCACCTGAATATATATATATATAACTAAATTTCATTAAAAGTTCAAAAACGGTATAAACGTGAAAAGTCCACAGTGTACCCTACTCGATCGTCAACACTTAGGCCACCTATAAACACGGAAAGATGCTCCACCCAATCGATTGCGGCGATAAGCCGTCGGTAGGCCACCATGGATAGCTCATTATTCTTTGCCATACGAAATGGTTCATAACGCATCTGAAAACCATTTACTGAGGGTATTTTCAATAATGCTTTAATAAGGATCTCCCTCATAGAGGAATCTCATGCTAGTTACTCGCGAAGCCTCCCCAGGTGGCGGATAACGGGTCAACCGCGAGGAACAAAAACGATCTTTGCTTCTCTGAGACGCAGTCAAAGACCAGCAAGAACGTGCTATTGTCCAAGAACGAGGATCTCTACGGTATCGCTAACTATCGCACAATCTGCTTACTGTCTACCCTCTGCAAACTTTTCACTTGAGTCTTCCAAAACAGGGCTGATAGAACACTGGACAGAGGACAGTCATGCGAGCAAGCAGGGTTTCGAAAAGTATTCGGTACGATAGACCACATCCACACGATAACAAGTCTCATTGATATATCGTGAGACCACAATAAACCGCTCTGCCTCATTTTCATCGATTTAAACAAAGCTTTTGACTCACTTGAGATAGAAGCAGTCCTCGAAGCCTTGGAGAGCCAGATAGTACCTACTCAAGACATAAAGATCCTTGAGCTACATAACAATTTCATAACGAAGATATCACCGTTCTATAACGATATTAACATCAAAGTCAAAAGAGGAACTAGGTAAGGTAATACCATCTGCCGAAGCTATTCTGTTCTCTTCCAAAACGTCATGCGAACATTTGGAATAGGATAATATGGGAATGAAAAACGATGGTCAGCAGTTACACCATTTTCGCTTTGCTGATGACATCATCCTTATAACATTAGCCAAGCAGAATGTATGCTCGCCGACTTTGATAAAGCCTGTGGAAAGATTGGTCTTCGACTAAATCTCACAAAAGCGATGTTTATGAAGAACGGATTGGTTTCGTATGCCCCATTCACGGTCAATGGAACGAATATCTCCAAATGCTCCAGTTATGCCTATCTAGGTCANTCAACTTGACCTTTCCAGGCTCTGAAGAAGGCGAAATTCGCCGAAACGTCAGCTTAATCGTGAACAAAGAACAATAACACCTCGCGTTTGCTCAAAAAATACGAACAAAATCATTTGGAATAGGATAATATGGGAATGAAAAACGATGGTCAGCAGTTACACCATTTTCGCTTTGCTGATGACATCATCCTTATAACATTAGCCAAGCAGAATGTATGCTCGCCGACTTTGATAAAGCCTGTGGAAAGATTGGTCTTCGACTAAATCTCACAAAAGCGATGTTTATGAAGAACGGATTGGTTTCGTATGCCCCATTCACGGTCAATGGAACGAATATCTCCAAATGCTCCAGTTATGCCTATCTAGGTCAGAAAATCAACATGTTGAACGACTTAGCTCCAGAGATGAGCAGAGGAAAACGAGCGGCTTGGGGAACTTTCAAGAGCGTCGAGGAAGTAGTGAGGAGAACAAAGAATACCCGACTCCGTGCCCACCTTCTCCACTCCACGATTCTTCGCACCTTAGCGTACACGTAGGAAACATGGTCGCTACATAAGCAGGTGAAAGATCATTGAGTTTTACTTCAGGCGCAGTCGAAAAGACTAACAAACCTTATAACGCCAGTGAAAAAAGGGATTCGCAGCTGTGACCTACGTCAACGATCAAAAATCACAGACGCCATTCCACACGCCATTTTGCCAAAAATAAGGAAGGCTTGTCACGTAGTGACTATGAACGACAACAGTAAGACAGCAGTCATTAGTGACTAGATTCCTCGAAATGTCAAACGTTCTGCAGGAAAACCACCAAACGATGGTTAGAGTTCTTAACAAAGACCTTAGAAGAAAGATATAATGTTCAACGAGAGACTCGACGAACAACTGGACGACAGGTGATGGTATTTTTCAATAAAGAAATTCCTCACCCTGAACAGAACGTGCTTTGTGCAAGAGCTGGCGATAACCTTACTCATGCGATGGTGCACTACGATTAATATACAAGGCGCCTGATGAATGAAATGTCCAGAAAAATTCAGTTAGTGCCCGAAACAAGGTGTCTGTAGTCCGTTCCCATTTTATGTGGTATTAGGTTGTAACACATGAAATGTCCGATTTTGAATGTAAATTTTAAATAACCATAACTTTTTTTCACGCTATATCTTACCGATCGAAGTTAACATTTAAAATCAGCACATTTTCTCCAAATAGAAACAAATTTATTTATTCCAGTTGCGTGAAATTCTGGAGTTCTGGAAGTGATGAATCGTTAGAGGTAATTTTTGCGTCGTCGCAAATGGTGAAGCATTTCTCGCGAACGAAGTCGTTAAGGTGCTTGAAGAAGTGATATCTAGTATGCAAGAGGTCTGGCGAATATGGCAGATGAGGTGAAGTTTCGTAGCCCAACTTGTTCAAATTCTGCGGCACTGATTCCGCATCGTGAGGCCGGGCGTTGCCTTGGAGAAGGATTGGTCCTTTCCTGTTGACTAATGCCGGTCGTTGTTGCTAGAGCTTATGGTGCATTTCGTCGGTTTCTTGGCAATACTTCTCTGTCGAAATCGTTTAGCACGGATTCAATAAGCTGGGATGAATTAGCCCAGCTGCAGACCATGAAACAGTTCATCGTAGCCTTTTTTTGGTGCAATTTCGGCTTTGGAAAGTGCTGTGGACCCTGATCGCAACCCAAGTATTGAGCTGAACGCCTCCGGTTGTCGCACAGAATCCACTTCTCGTTGCACGTCACAACTCGATCAAGAAAATTTTCTTGCGCAGAATAAGAGCATACGACACTTCAAAACGGCGATTTATCCGATAATCGTTTAATTCGTGCGGCACCCATCTATCGAAATTTTTTTGCCTTTCCTATGCGATTCAATTGAGTGGAAATTGTTGCTGTGCTTTGGCCAAGCTGTTCTTCGAACTCTCGAACAGTTGTTCGCGTGTATGCTTTTACTATTTCCTTCAATTCGTTGTCGTGAAGTTCACTGAGACGTCTGCGGCCTTTTTTAACTTAAAGGTCCAGATCACCAAATTGGAATATCCTAAACCATTTTTGCATTGTTGATTCACCAACACTACCTTCACCTTAAACTTGATAATTTTCCGAGCTCCTTCCGCGGCATTATGTGCAGTCTTCCACTTATACAAAAAAGGACACGAATATCACGTTGATTCATACTAAAGTCAAAGCTTATAAATATGTTAAAATATTAAATGCTGAAAAAAAATCAATATTGGCATAGAAAGAGCAGACTCTGTGCTTCAAAAATTTATATTAAACATACATAAAAAACGAAATTTTTCTTTAAAAAATTACACAAACCTTAAAACAATAAAATTAGACATTTCATATGTTACAGTCTGATATTACTCAGACCATTTTCGCTTCCTCCACCACCCCATAAGACAGAGAAAACAACAATACAAAACAATGCATTTAGCAACACCTTTTCTGGGTCTGTAGAAGGCACACGGTGCCAAAACGTCCGCTTTTGTGGATAAATAAATGGCGTAGTAACATCCTCGTGTGTGCTTACCAGGAAAACATCGTGTCACAAAACTACGCATTTTTTTTTCGTCTTACGTTTCTTCAACAAATTATCGAACAATGGTATTTCAGTTTTGGATTGAACACAGCAAAGTATCCTAGTCTAACGTGGTTTAAAGTAGTTTAATCATATGTAACAGATAAAACAAAGGAGAAAAAAATCGAAAACCTTCTCACCTCACATCGTTTACCTTTCAGCTTAGTTGGATCGGCAATGATTTCTCGAAGTCTGTTTACTCGCAATGGATATAACTGTGAAGCATCTACATTCGTGTCACCCTTGAGAAAAAGAGTATCATAATTAGGTTTCCGGGTTCACTATAGTTTGTTTAAGGTACAATGAACTATTAGTCTTCTAATCAATATGTATTCTTTCTTTGATGAGCTTACACGAGGTTGATAATGATGTTTATTTTCGGCTATCATCCTATTATCAACCTCTTGTAAGCTCATCAAAGAAAGAATGCATATTGATTAGTGTTACCGAGGTTCAAGGAAAGTCGGTTTCGAAATATTACTACGCTTTGTGCTAGCTGATAATTACACCGACTTCTGCACAATGTGCACAATGATGTATATCCGGAAGAAATACAAGTTGTTACCACCGGACATTATCATTATATATCCACCATCAGCAACGTGTATAAAAGGGCATCACTGAGTGAGGATGCCTCATTCGAGGAGATGGCTCACTGAAGAAGACCTGACTCGACAAGAAGGCGAAGCTGCACGTCGAGACGAATAACAAGCATGGACAATTGACTCGGATCATCAGCTCTAAGGAAGGCGAAGACGTCGGAAAGTTGGCCGAAAATAAATATCATTATCAACCTCGTGTAAGCTCATCAAAGAAAGAATACATATTGATTAGTGATACCAAGGTTCAAGGAAAGTCGGTTTCGAAATATTAGTCTTCCATTAGTTCATAGAGGAAGTACACGCGGATTTGACAAGAGTGATCGTGCTAGATACTGCCCGTGGAGGATCAAAGTGATTAATATTAAGAACGAGAAGGGAGCTTTTAGATCACAAATGACATCAAAGGTAAGAGGATAACGCAGTGGTTGAAATTGTTTCGGTAAGCGCAAAGCCTTGATTCAACAAAGGAGCAGGCCAACAAAGCTCCTTATCCCTCTGGGCCCAAGAAACTGCTACCAGACATGTCTGTGAAAAGCTTTCTGCGATTGAAAAAAGCTGGCGATTGCCTTCGGTGTATGTCGGAAAACACGCTAGCATGGCTATAACAGGATTCTAATCGACCAGGATTCAACGACACTCACGAAGAAGGAAAATATACGCAAGCAGCAGTCGAAGCCACATGCGAATCCGAAAACCTTGGTGGAATATGGATACGGGAAAACGAATGGAATGGAAGAAGCGTTGGAGACGATACAACATGTGATATCTGTCGCTCATATGAAAATGCAAAAGTAAGCATAGCACACATCCTTAGAAAGGCGAATAGTGGAACAGAAAGACCAGAATAAGAGTGTCCGTACAATCGGAAAGTCGTGCCGCTAGGTTGTATTGCCTTGTCTTCACGTCCAAAATATTTGCTATATTGAAGTATTCTTCCTCCCAACGGTTTACCGTCTCATCGTGGGTGGAAGAGGTGTTCCTGGGTATCGGTTTGCGTTGTGCAGCAGAGGATTCATACCCTGGCACCTGGCAGAGTCGCCCATGCTGAAAAGGAGTCCGGCGTTTCCATTAGGAAGCCCAGCTAAGAGCAAACCAATACCAGGAACCACCACCACTCTGGTCGCATGGTGGCAAATATCCCTCTGATCAACGAGGGCTGCCACAGCCTGTGGTGGTGAAGACCTGGGGCAGACTTTAGCCAGGCTGACCTCAGGTTTCAAGAGAACCACAATGGCTTAACCAGCAAATCTCCGAAAAATGGAGACTATGCTGGGTCCCGCCCAACAAGTGAGGACGGGCCATTCAACTATCAAGTAAGTAAGTATTGAGGTATCTCATAGAGACTGCTGTCTATCTCATGTAGAGTATCCTCCACCTCTATTCATTTCTACTTCTTACCACAGCACTCGCACATATTCACGTGTTTACGTCTTCCAGTTTTGCAATGTATTGTTTAATCACTTTTTCGTGTAAAATTTATACTCATATCAGCTGAACTTTCTCTATAAGCTATGTAGTCCTTGTTTAAATACTATCTTTGGAAAAGCAGAGTTCTTTATATGTTGCCTTATTCAAAACGCTTTTGAATGCATCATAAGAATATCTTTTGTTTATCACATCTAGTTTAGTGTGTTTACGCAAGATGAATAGGCGATGTTGTCCTCAACTAAAAGGGAACTCTCAAACAACGCCATAACTCCGCCTGCTCCAGCGGAAATAAAGAGAGCAACTAGTCAAGATTCTAATCTCTTAAGCACTGCTCCTATAGTCGTCACCTCTTTAATGCGACTTTACTTTCTGCAGTAGATTCCAGTTATTGAGCTCTCTATTCTCATTACCCATCATAATCACTATGGCATATCACGCGAATTTCTTTCCAGCAATCACTAATGGATTAGAGCTAGGGTACGGTTCACATGATTTCTTGTAAAGCCTGTGGGAAGGGATAACAAAACAAAACAAAACAGGTAGACCACTCTGTGTTCATATAAAAGAACACCTATATGGTAAATTTCGTTAAACCAAATATCCCGCTAAACGTGCATAGGAGAGAGAGACAACGGAGAACATTTTGAAGTGAAAGTCACTATCCTCGCCCGGGAAACTAAAACATCAGAGTGTGAAACTCTTGAAACGTTTTGAATAAATTTCAAAAATTAAAGAATGAGCCGCAAGGAGAAGTCCCTTGTGGTCACGCGCGATCTTTTTGGTTTCTTGGTGTAAGTCAGAAACATTCCTCGCCCATCTAGGACTGAGAAGCCAACAATAACTGGAAGATTTATGAAGAACAAAACCGTGAGCAACGCGTTCACCTCCACACCATGAGTTCTGTCGATCAGCGTCACCCGTGAACGGGATTGATCTAGGGAGCCCACATCGGCATTTAACCCAGTTAAGCTGAGGCTGTAGTTGAAATCACAATGTTCTACCTTTTATTTTCTGCCTACTACAATTTTCACGGAAGGGTACTAAGCCAAATACAACCACAACGTTGCTGAGATATTTGCAAAACTCTGGACTGCAGGTGCCTATGGTGGGGAACGAACGCGCTACTGTCCTTTCCGGGGAGTAACGCGTTCACTGTGATGGCGCTGATCGATAAAACTAGCTGAGAGATAGGCGAAACGGAGAACCTGCATGGTGTGGTGGTGAACGCGTTACTCCCCGGAAAGGACAATGGCGCGTTCGTTCCTCACCATAGACACCTGCGAGCCAGAGTTTTGCAAATACCTCAGTAACGTTGTGGTTGTGTTTCGCTTAGTACCCTGCCATGAAAATTGTAGTAGGCAAAAAATAAAAGGTAAAACAAAACGGTGAGTGTTTAAAAGAAGCTGCTTACTATGCGAATCAAGTTTGCGTGTTGAATTTTTCTGTGTGGGATGTAGGAGTGTTGGTCTCAATAAACTGCTTTTTCAATTTGAACTTTCCCGGTTTTTAAAAAGGCGAAACCGCCAAAACGAGAGTCAGTATTGAGTACATCCTGTTATTGAGAATCTTGTGTCCAGTCAACAGGAAAACACTGACTTGTCTAACAATATCCAGGCTAACAGAAAGTTGGTTCTGAGAATTAATATAGGAAGAACCACTAAACGCCTAGTAAGCAGGTGGTCTAAGAGGCTTTGTGCTAGAGAAGGGCGTGCTTATCATTGAGAAATTCAAGTACGCGGATCAGCAATTGACAACAACTCTCTGAAGCTGCTAATCGATGCTCTCCCTCGAAAAACTATTGCAACGGTTGTAGAAAAACTGAAAGTTCACAATTCAGCAATAGGAAGACAATGAAGTCATGAAAAAGCTCGATAAATGACTGTCGCATGAAATAGACGAGCGGAAGCGAGAATGTCGTCAAGAAGTCTGTTCCGCTCCTCACCTTCATTATCATGCTATTCTCCTGTTCCTGTGAAGCTTCCTCTAAATTGCAGAAAAAACACATTTCCTTACACCATTGTAAAACAAGATAAAAACTGGGTCCTATAAGACAGTAAGTGAGGTCCGTTTCAGTCGTTGAACCAAGATTAAACACTCAAGAATTTCCCAAGCCTAATTTGCTTATGATGACTTTTTCATTTTCGTTCTTTGCAATCATGTATCACAAGTTCATCAGCCTTGGGAAGAACACTACCACGGAAAAATAATTTCACGAAACCGATGAAATTCTATAAACTTCAGTGCATTGAGAATTGTCTTGTTAAAAAAGTCGTTGCAAAACTTCATTTGTTATTCTATTTTGTATGACCCGTCTTCACGTCTACCGTGGGGATTCCAGCACCTCTCACATTCGATTCGTTTCCTCGCATCCATTGCCCACAAAGATCTTCCAACTTCTATTTGTGGCTTCGATTGCCTCTTGAGGGTTTTCATTTCATCTTAAATGTCATAGAATGCTGGTCGAGCAATTATCGCTGGAGTCCTGAGATAGGCGGGCTGAAGCGTTCCCAACTGGATCACAGTGAGCAGATAACGATTATAACTACGGCATCAGGTTAACTAGGTTCGTTGCCGATCTGGGCTCCTTAGATGCATCCCGTTGACGGGTGTTTGCTGTGGCAAAGATCGATAGAACAAGCTGAGAGACAGGCGAAACGAAGGACTCGCATGATGTGGTGGCGAACGCGTTTTCCCCGGTAAGGGAATAGCTGGTTCGTTTACCACCGCAGACACCTGCGGTCCTGAATTTTGCAAATATCAGCATCATTAATAATAATAATAAAGATTATTAATAATGACTCCCCGAATGAACATACTAATAATGATAAAGAGGAAAAGTGTACTCAAAAAGCGACTACCTTCATCACTTTTGCTTCGATATTTAATAAGTTCATCAGCAACGTTCTCATCTCAACCGTCAGTTTTTTCATCCAGTCGCTTTTATTTATGGGCTTTGGAGAACAACTGATCTACAAATATCTTAATAAATATCGTTTGCATAGATTTTACTTCAGAGAGGCATTGCAACGGAAGAAGACCACAAAATTAAGGATGTTTGAAAAACAGCAAAAAAACTCGGAAAGAAATTCTACGAATTCACGCTTTGTTTTGGTAGCGCACTCCTCTTCTTTTTCTTCAGGATGTAGTCCCGATTTGGTCGACAGGCTTAATAAAGAATTGGGAGCCTTCTTTCTTTTAAATAAAGCTGATTGATGTATGTGTCTACCACATCACTTTTAACACAGTGCTAATTCTTACCTTCAGGCTTCATACCGGCCTCTAAGCACTTCTCAAATCGACAACTTCGACACTGAGTTCGGAAATCTGAAACAAAAACTGTTCGCCGTTCTCTTCATAAGTATATAAGAGGTTTTCATTATATACTATTTATTCACAACAGCTAACTTTTTGGCCGATTTCGCCTTCTTAAGGGTTATTTTTTACGACTATTCTAATGGGATCACCCATCTATACGAGCTGTGCACGAGCAATACTCGGTGGAAGGGTAGAACGGCTCTGATGAAGGCGAAACCCTGCCGAAACGTTAACTGTTGGGAATAAATAGTATGTATAATAATTACCTCTTGTTTGCTTATCAGGAAAATAGCGAATTACCTATCACTTCTAATGCTAATATAAATTTGGTGCTATGAATAATAAAAGGTGTTGTTTCAGCGACAATATTTCAATTCGAATATATTTAAGCGAGCGGGGATAGAGCAGTGGTTAGTGACACCGACGCTCAAAAAACAAAAGACGCCATTTCGATCCCCGTCCCATACTCTCCTCAAGTCCACGTGGGAGCATCTTAGTCCGACCGTCTTCAAGATTGTAAAAAGAATTTGCTCGACCAGCATTCTACGGTATTCATAAAGGAGACGAAACCCTCAAGCAGTAGCGCAAACAACGCGCGAAATGTACGAACACCATTGTGGAGGTTGGATGCAAGGAAAATGAATCGAATTCGAGAAGTGATGGGAACCGCAGAGTAGGTATGATGATGGGTCTTGCAAGACAAAGCAAATAACAACGTATTTGATAGCTGTATCCGTAGGTATGACTTCTCCAAGCCATATGTTAGCCCATACCCGCAACGCTGACGGTTTAATTAGTTTACTACTTATCCAGCACTTTCCAATATCGCCACTGATGCTTAAAAAAATCTTATTCTTGTTATACTTTTTTATTTTTTGCCTACTATAATTTCGCGGCAGGGTACTAAGCGAAATACAACCACAACGTTGCTGAGATATTTACAAAACTCTGGACCGCAGGTGTCTATGGTGGGGAACGAACGCGCTTTGTCCTTTCCGGGGAGTAACGCGTTCACCACCACACCATGCAGGTCCTTCGTCTCGCCTGTCTCTCAGCTATTTCTATCGATCTCTGCCACAGCGGGATTCTCTTAATCAAAAACAGCACAAACCACTAAACTTGAAAACATGATAAAGTAATGAATCCAAATGGATGAAAAGCTAATGAGAAATTGCTCCTTTACAATGGGCAATAGAGGATCGATCAATTTATGACTAGTAAATCCGGATGGCAGGAGTTCTATCTGTCAAAGAAAAGTGTTACTATTTATATTTAAATTTCCCATTTTACTGTATAAGGGTATTACTAGATCTAAACGTGACATGGGTAGCTTGTATTGTAGTGGTTAGAAGTGTCCCGGAATACACACGTGATTCTTGGTTCGATACCGCGCTCCGGATTCACCTAGCCTTCCATTCCTCGTCTTGGCAAATTGGTACCACTCTGATCTTACAAGTCACTGTGTAAGGTAGATATGAATTCAATCACCTCTGCGATGAAGTCGAATGCACGGCGCATCTTTCAACGTTTGATCAACGCCGAACGCTTTGTCTTTTCATACTTGCCTCTAACATTTGATCAAAACGTAATTATTATTAGTACTATTCAACCCACGCGTACAATTTCTTAATTACACTTAATTAAAATACATTTCGACTACATCGAAGCCTAAGGGTGCGGGTGTGCCTGGCTTGTCAAACCTGTACAGTAGCAAATCTTTCCTCTTGTAAAGCCACTCGAGAATAGAATAAGTTCAACTTCCTCACCCAGAAATTCAAGTACAGGTAAAGCAATGTCAACGACAGCAGCCCTGTCGGCAGAAACTTAATCGCAAGTTAGTAAACATTCCTCTGATTCGCAAGAGCTCCAAAGACGGTTGGTCTCAATACCGCTTAGAAAAAAATCCCGATCAAACGGCAGAATATTGCTCAAGTGGAAATTCTGCAGATTCTTTTACTCATTTATTATAACAAAGCGCTTTCTATTTCAATCCACTACCATTCCAATGCGAATTCGTCGATAGAAAAGTAACAATAACACTAACTATCATTACGAAAATAAAAAAAAAACTGCACGCAGTCGGTTAAAAGGTAAAGGAGAGAGCGTTTAACGTCGATTACTTTCTGAGCGATTTTCTATACATTCGACTCAACTAAGCCTCTTAGATATGAATGAATGCATATTTGGCCTATACAACGATTTGAGGTGGTCTTCCGATTTATCAAATCGGTGCACTTTTCTCCTATACAAATCTGGTACCAATTCGCCGACCTCTGAGGTCTGAACGAACGTCTGCTGAGCTCAGAGTGCTGGGATCGAACCAACGACCATGTCTGCATTGTGGGACACATCGAAACGCGCGATCAGGTAATGGTGAGATATGGCTATTTCTAGAAATATTTTGGATAGAAAAAAACGACTAACCGAATCGTATTGGGCAGTTGCCGTTTGCGTGACATTCGAGTTGATCGGCCTTCATAAGCGCCCGACGGAAAAAACCCTTACATCCTACACAAGAGACGGTCCCGTAGTGCATTCCTGCCTATGAAATCAGTGGAAAAATGGATACATTGGGCTGCAGTAAGAAAAAAAAACAAGAAATACATTAAAAGGTGAATTGAAAATAGAGCAAAACTTAAATTAAAGTTAAATTGTTTTTTCTTGTAGATGAAAGTGTTCGAGAATAAAAAATGACAATCTGATGAGTTCATACATAAGAACCAAACGAAACGTCACCAACAGAATAAATAACTCAACTAATTAGCCTTCTATTCATTTTAAATGGCTAGAATGTTAAGAACCAACTTTCTGCAAAGGTTATAGATATATCTTATATCTTTCTATTTCTGTTCAGCAAACACGAGGTGCTATTTTATTTCTTTACTTACGCAGAAGCTGACGTTTCGGCGGATTTCGCCTTCCTCAGAGCCGCTTTCTATGAATCTTCCACTGAATATCTCGCGTGAAGACCGACCGCACACAATTCACATGGAAGCGTAATGTAAGCGTAAGCGACGTGTTTGCTGAACAGAAGTAGAAAGATATATTCAATCAATGCCGAGGTTAATAGAAAGTCGGACTTGGGAATGCTGAGATATTTACAAAACTCAGTCCTCAGCCCAGATTCGCACTGGCGATTACCATTTCCAGGGACACATGTTATCCAATGTACCACTGAGGCTCTTGCTTCTTTCTCTAGGCCAATTTTTACTCTAACCGTGGCATTAGCAATAACCCCTCAACAGGAAAAAACTAGGGAGCACAAATCAGCACTGAACCTGGTTACGTTGAGGCTGCAGTCCAATTAGAATTAGTCGAATTATACACTGGATAAAATGCTGGGCACAATTTGGAGATGTTTTTCGTACAAAACAAAAACAAAAAGTACCTTCTCGGCGCCACATACTCTGCACACCTCTTCACCACACACCTCTTGTTCGTCTTCATCGTCAGAGTCTGGAACTCTTCGATAAAGCCATCACTTTTAAAAAGTTGTGGCGAGAAGCATCGTACTAATAAAATAATTGCCTTAAGTTGACTGTTTTTCCGAAAAAACTGGGTAACGTGCGCGCGATCTGGTTCAGGGCATGGGTTTATCCTTAATCAGTCTTATGGAAGAGGATGTCAAACTCAGCTTGAGTGATTGTTGGTGATTAGCCTTCATGGGGCAAACTACTGCAGAATGCTATCATCAAGAAAACAGTTATTACGAGTTTTGCAATGCTTACTGAATAAGTAGATGCTTTGAAGAAGAATACCACAAATAACAATGAACGTTTAATGATGTAATTTATAACGATTCTTATAAACAGTTTTGTTGTAGTAGTATTGCGATCTCAAAGATTTAGTATTTGAAACCTTGTTTATCTTGCTTTACATGGCCCGACAGACACTAAATACTGTGCAGATCCCAGCACTTCTTTCATTCGAATCGTTCCCTCGCATCGATCATCCGTCTGGGTCTTCGGATTTGCGTGCGGACTAGCTCCTAGGATACAAGTATTGGAATGTTTCCAGCTCTTCATACCAGCCTTTGTGGAACGCAGGAGCGCCTCAAGCAAGTTCGATATCAGTTTCCTGTCTGCGGAAATGCAAGAGGCTTGACTGCCTGGGAATAGATGAGAACCAGCGGCCTTGCGAGTATTACTAAGCATGAGCAACTTCTCTACCACTGCCATATTCGCGCCGTTTTTAGGCAGAAAAAACAATGATAATCGGCAGCACTTTATTTTTTCATTTTATTTAATCCGTCTTCATGTCTACTGTGCGGATTCCAAGACTTCTCCATCCAATTCGTCTCATTGTATACATCGTCCACGAAGGTCTTTCAAGTTTTTACGCGTGGTTTCGGATGCTGCTTGAGGATTTTCATTTCATCTTGAATTTCGTAGAATGCTGGTCGAGCAGTTCTCCCCGGAGTCCTGAAATAGCCAGGCTGGAGCGTTCCCAACTGAATTGCAGCGATTTTTTTCCCAAGGGGTAAGAGACTTGGTTGGCCCGAAGCTGACTTGAACTAGCAACGTGCTCGTGATAACGGACATCACTACCACTGTGCTTTCCGCCCCATATTGGCAGCGTTACAACAGGTAATTTAAAAAATCGTAATCGTTATATATTCTCATTGAAATAAGAAATTTTGGACCGTCGTACATCAAAAAACATACCAATTACTATAATATCTTCTTCACAGGAACCACCAACTCCGTCTATCGGTGCCCTAATGGTATCACCGGTACGTTGCGCCAGGGCTGCAACAGAGTGGAAAAAGTCCATTAATCACCCATCATATCATAAAAGCTCGCAGAATTTGAGTGAAAAAACGGAAATTTACATGCGTATAAGCATGCTTTCCGAAATCAAAAAGAGCGAACTGGAAAGTGGCCTAACGGAAAACAGCAAATCACCACGGTCAATCATCAGGATTTGTGGATCGGAAGGTAACACAGAAATGCCCAAAATGTTTCTACAATAGCTCACTATGCAAATTGTTGTTGCTGTGTTGCTTTTTTGGTGTTGTCCGACAGCTGACGTCTCGGTGATTTCGCCTTCCTCAGAGCCGCGCTCTCGCGTGTGGGACCACCCGCGTGCTGCTCACGTGAATTGACGAGTCGAAGACGATGATGACGACGAGATAATAAAGAGCAAGGCGAAATCGTCGAAAAGTCAGCCATCGAATAACAACAAAGACAACAACAACAACAACAACAACGACAAACGACAACGTATACCAACCTCGCATTGCCTCAACAAAGGCAGCTTATACTTACTCACTTGGATACTTGGATCACCCATCTTCACTGGTTGTGCTGGCCCCAGCATAATTTCCGTTTTTTCAGAGCTTGACTGGTCTAGCCATTGTGGCTTCCTGGAATCCTGAAGTCAGCCCGGCCAAAGTCTGCCCCAGGTCGTCACCACCACAAACAGTCACCGCCTTCGTGAATCAGACAGAAATTTGCCACCATGCGACTAGTTGCTACCAGGATGGTGGTGAGTCGTGGTACTGGTTCACTCTTAACTAGGCCTCCTGATGGAAATGCCGGGCGCCTCAGCTTGGGAGACCCTGCTGGTAGGCGACTCCCCACCCCCAGCTGTACATCGCATCCCGACACCCAGAAACACCTCCCAGACACGATGAGGCCGTAAACCGTTGAGAGGAAGGCAGTTTATAAAAACACTATATGTATATGTATATATGTTCTTATAAATACGCAGGTGGATTCAGGAGATGAACTTCTTTCTGCTGCGTTGACTTGGCACATACTTTCTGTATTTACAAGGAGTATTCATGCATGCGTGCCTAGGTGCGTGCTCGTTTATGCGTATGTATTCTACGAGTCAATTCGGTCAAAAGCCTGGAATTAAGTGACGGAAGTATATGGGAGGCGGTTAGGAGTCGCCTCCAACAAATAAGCTAAATGTTCACTCTGGGAGAGCCTGGCAAGCTATCAATGACTATACCCCGCCCCTACATTCAGCACTCAGCAAGCTCTACGTGGGTATCAAAAGTTAAACGCAGTAAAATAAACAGGCCTCATTCCCCTGACCACGAGAGAACCCCTAAATTCGGCAGCGTTGGGTAGGATGAGTACGGACAGGCTGCTGAAATCGCAAACCCATTCTAAGTTGCTTAAGTCGCAAAGGACTAAAATGGAAATCTGTACCTAAAAGGCACGCACACTTGCATCTGAGCCCTCAACAGAAGACCTGATCGCGCAAGCAAGAAGCATAAGTTACGACATTATCGGACTGCCCAATACGATACGACGCCACCCATTCAACGCCGTCTATGACACCGAAAAAAACTGTTCCTCGGAAAATGCAACAATAGAAGAGTAGGCAGCGTCGGCGTCCTCGTCAGCACGAGTTTGTTCATGAACAAATCGCACGAGCTGCAGGCAATCGCGAACTAACGTCCGAACTTTCAAAACAAGGCAAGCAGGAGTTAAAAGAAAATTTAAAAAAGAGAACAGCAGCAGTTATGGTCGATGCTGCAGAGGCTGGGAAAAGCATTCGCAAAGTTTCGTCAATTACAAAACCAACATAATTGTATTCCGACGCCTATACAGAATAACTATTGAGTCCAAAAAGGCAATGGAGAAAATCATTCACGAATACTACTTAGATCTCCTTGATAGCCACGTTTTTCTGCTCTCATATGAAATAAAGGAGGATGGATATATTGCACCACCGCCTCTCCCTTCCGAAATCCGACATGCCATTTCGTCGGTGAAAAATCGAACATCACCAGATCTGGACAGGATAACATCTGAACATCTGAAGATCCTTCTCCCAAGTAGGGTTTTGAAAAGTATTCGGTACGATAGACCACATCCACACGATAACAAGTCTCACTGATATATCGTGAGACCACAATAAACCGCTCTGCCTCATTTTCATCGATTTAAACAAAGCTTTTGACTCACTTGAGATAGAAGCAGTCCTCGAAGCCTTGGAGAGCCAGATAGTACCTACTCAAGACATAAAGATCCTTGAGCTACATAACAATTTCATAACGAAGATATCACCGTTCTATAACGATATTATCATCAAAGTCAAAAGAGGAACTACGTAAGGTAATACCATCTGCCGAAGCTATTCTGTTCTCTTCCAAAACGTCATGCGAACATTTGGAATAGGCAGTAACTGCCACGACCGACTTTCTATTAACCTCGGCATTGATCAAGTGATTTTGTTCGTATTTTTTTGAGCAAACGCGAGGTGTTATTGTTCGTTGTTCACGATTAAGCTGACGTTTCGGCGAATTTCGCCTTCTTCAGAGCCTGGAAAGGTCAAGTTGATAGCAACTCACTCGGCACATTATACTTCCACGTGATTTCTGTGCGGTTGGTCTCTACGTGACATACTTAGTGGAGACCTCATAGAAAGCGGTGAGTGTGCAAAGCTGTGTTCAAAGTGATTGAAATCTTGGTTTGGGGTTTCTTTGTTTGGTTATGGAGGCGTCTGGCCGAGTGAGTTGCTATCAACTTGACCTTTCCAGGCTCTGAAGAAGGCGAAATTCGCCGAAACGTCAGCTTAATCGTGAACAAAGAACAATAACACCTCGCGTTTGCTCAAAAAATACGAACAAAATCATTTGGAATAGGATAATATGGGAATGAAAAACGATGGTCAGCAGTTACACCATTTTCACTTTGCTGATGACATCATCCTTATAACATTAGCCAAGCAGAATGTATGCTCGCCGACTTTGATAAAGCCTGTGGAAAGATTGGTCTTCGACTAAATCTCACAAAAGCGATGTTTATGAAGAACGGATTGGTTTCGTATGCCCCATTCACGGTCAATGGAACGAATATCTCCAAATGCTCCAGTTATGTCTATCTAGGTCAGGAAATCAACATGTTGAACGACTTAGCTCCAGAGATGAGCAGAGGAAAGCGAGCGGCTTGGGGAGCTTTCAAGAGCGTCTAGGATGTAGTGAAGAAGACAAAAAACACCCGACTCCGTGCCCACCTTTTCGACTAAACGGTACCTCCTGCCCTAACGTAAGCGTCAGAAACGTGGTCGCTGCGTAAGTAGAATGAAAGATCACTCAGCGTTATTGAACGCGTGAACGCGCAGTCGAAAGGACGATGCTAGGAGTACTCCGTTTCACACAAGTAAGAGGAAGCATCCGAAGCTCCGACTGCGTTAGCGATCAAAAATCAAGGATACCGTTCTTTACGCCAAACAGTCGAAGATAAGGTGGGCCGGACACGTAATGCGTATGAACGACAACCGATGGACAAGAGCCGTTAGTGACTGGATTCTTCGGGGTATTAAACGCACTGCAGGAAGATCACCGACTCGATGGTCTGAGGTCTTCGCGAAGAGCCTAGAAGAACGATATGATGCTCCACGAGTCCCTAGAGCGAGCAGAACCCCTACTCTTGCACGCGACAGGGAAAAATGGAAGATTTACTGGCGTCCGCTCGAGCCACTCGACGATCAACGGGACTACATATGATACAGGTGATATATGTATATGCATACATATATTTACGTATATATTTATTTATTTATTTATTACTATACATTTCACGAAAAACGACATAAATCAATAAGTATGAAAAGCTAACGAGAAAGACTAAGCGGAGAAAACTTTGAAAAAAAAAGCGGAGCTCTATTGAGCCACAAATCTGAAGTCAGTAGGTGCGCAAAAGTGATACGTTTTGGCAAACAAAAGAAACAGCAAATGAAAAACAAAAAAAGGTGCGACAAGAAAAATCTCTGATGCTCTCGTCGTACGATGATTGTCTTATTAGTTGCTCGTTTCATCAGTTTTTCCGTTTGGATATTTTACTTTTCATACTCGACATGTGTTATGGCTGAACTTGTGCACGTGAGGACAATGCGTAGGCGGAAGGTACTTCGTTCTCAGTTTTTCTCACCTCAGCACAGCTGTTTTATCAAGAAGAAATGACAGGAAACTATCAGCGTAAATGTTTTCAATGTCGAATATGCGATATGAATATATACCGAAACGAAGACATGGATGGATAGAACATAAGGACCAAAATGTAGAAAATATTCAAAAGCTTTAGAGTAAGTTGCCGGTTTTTTGACCAATGACGAAGAAATCTTTCCTTATCAGCAAGAAGCTTTACAAAGTTACTGACGGAGATGGGTGAAAGTATACCAAAATTTCGTGTTGTTGTGGTCCTAAATTCGTACGTTCCCGCCAAGAAGCTATGTTGCGAACCAACACCTGAATGGTTTGAAGGAATTTGTTCGAAGGATTTATGCATAAGACGCCACAGAAAAGAAGCCAGCTCGACAACGAAATTTCGGGTGAAATGGTCCTTGAGTGTTCTTGTTTTAACAAGAACTAGTTGTACACCGTAAGGAACGAATAACGGCATGATGGCGACGACTGTAATCGGTCACGGGTAGAATTGATTGAAAAAATCACATGCCCATGAAAAAAGCAAATCACTGGAGATCTTTGTTAGGTACTGATAGGGGGACTTTGAATTGGTGGGAAGCACTATGTGAATGAATAATTTGTGAGGAAGTAAAGACACTTTTAGTGAGAAATATGAACACCAGTAAGCTTACTACTGTTAACTGACGATCATTTTTAATGGCTAGTTATCGGAATGAACAGCGAAACCAATCGGGAACAGTAGTAATTTGTGGCTTTAAATGAGCCAATCGGAACGATTTTCATAGGCACCTACGAGAGATTTGTGATGATAGGAAGTTATGGGAAAATCACGAATATGTCTATCGATTTATTTGTACTGGCTTCTTACCATAACTATTTGTTCTCCAATACTTAGAAAATCACTTGGATTTTGACGAAATTTTTAAACTCGTAGCCCTCGTTGGGATATGAACCTCCTATCAAGGTATAGTAGATCGTTCGAATATAAAGAAATTATGAACAGATGACCTATGAATGAAAATAAAAACGCAGAAATGAGAACGAACTGTTGACGGCTATCCAGCAAAAACCGGATTCGTCACGCATGTAAAGAGCGATCCAACCGCAAAACCGCTGTGATGTGACATCGTTCTAATTAAAGTACTAAGTTCACAACGTCTTTAAAATGCTTCTCATTAAATATCGATTTCTATACAAAACATTAACATGGTCTAGAAAACGTGAGCAAGGTGCACGTTTTTGACAGAACATAATTCTCAACGAAGATTTACTCCTACATTGTAGTTACAGGTCAACCTGGATGTCTACGATGAACAATGGGTGGCTGATCATTTTAAACAGCACGACACGAACTGAGCAGAACTGCGAGTATAAATCTACGAGACACCAGAGCCAGTGCAACTCCCTTATTTGTTGGAAAGAACAATAGGGAAAACATAGCGTGACAAAAACGTGATGCACTTCGCTCGCCTTGGGTGAACGTTACCAAATGAGCACCTCTCCTAAGCGACAGAACGAATAAACACTTTTTTCGTGGTTCCACAAGTTGTTAGATTATAAAGATATTGAGCTACGTATTTACCCTCCCAACGGTTCACCGGCTCATCGTGACTGGGAGGTATTCCTGGGTGTCGGACTGCGATGTACAGCGGGGTGATTCGTCCCCACGGCAGGGTCTCCCAGGATGAGGAGTCAGGCGTTTCCATCAGGAAACCTAGCTAAGAATAAACCACTACCAGGATCCACCACCGTCCTGGCATCAAAATCGCATGGTGGTAAATCTCCCTCTGATCCACAAAGGCTGCGACTCCCTGCGGTGGTGAAGACCTGGGCAGACTTTGGCTAGGCTGACCTCGGGATGCTAGGGAACCGCAATGACTTGACCAACAGATCTCCGACAAATGGAGATTACGCTGGGACCCGCACAACTATTGAGGACGGGCCATTCAAGCATTCAAGTATCGAGTAAATATATTGACAAGCGATGCAAATTGAATTCCACAGCGATTATTTTACCAGAAAACTTGCTTCAGGAAGAAAACGAATTCGCCCTCAAGAAAAATAAAACAAAAATGAATTATACTAGAGGTCTAGGGAGCGGGTAGTCCAGTGCTAGTGGTGCCGTTCACTACATGGTTGCCTCAACCACCCCCCTCCCTAATTCGACCTCGCCTCAGGGTAATTTGCACCGACTTGTCCGGGGCAAGCTGACTTCTTCAAATCTACATCAAAACACCTTAGCACAGCTGTCTCAAAACTCTAAGGAGAACCGACTCGAGCATTATTCAGCAACATTCGTCACGAAAGCAAAAAAATATCCTTAATCTGCGGCCAAACACACACACAGAGAATGTTCGAAGACATTCGTGGATGATGGACTAAAAGCAATCTGTGGCGGGAACTACTGCGTCCATATATTGTGATATATCTGATTTTGAGTCATGTAGAAATTAAAAGTAAAAAGCTCCTCGGCTTTCATCAACCATGTAAAATCACGGATTTTTTTCTCAGTTGATTGCCAAGAGTGCTTACTCAGGACAACTGCGCCTTACATTACCTGTAGTACCAGTCGATTCGACCGTAAAGGAAAAAAGGCTGAGCCACACACCCTACAATTAATTTACTGTACACATCAACTGCCCACCCTGATCGCACAGGACTGCTGCGTGTACGCGTAGACAGAGCGCTAATATGATGAAGTGAACTTGTCCTTCGTGCGTCTTTGTTTGTAATCTTCAGCGTTTCCGATTTTTCTAAACTCCTTTCTAACGTATGGTGTTTTCAATAAATAAACGACAAAAAAGCCGGAAAAAGTCCACATTGCTTGATATAAAGCGCGTTTTAAACTTTAAGCATGAGTGTAAACTAAAAGAAAGGTATAACACACCGCTTAGCTTTTATGTGGTTCACATAATCGAGTAAAAGAATAGAGAAGTACTGGTAAACCGTAGAAGATATGATGTGCCGAAAGCTTGCTGAGACTACGAATTTCTCAATGTCAGCACAGACAGAGGAATGATATCGGTGCAAATCTTTGGATAGCGAAAAAAAACTGGCCAACAAACACCAAGCTCCTAAACTTCAATAAATAGCATGGGGTGTTGAGATGTGCACATGACAAGCATCTAACTCTGATGAGATGCTCCGTTGGTGGTCTGCCGAAAACCCGAAATAAATAACATTTTTTGTAAAATTTTGAACTGCTTAGTAAAAAGAACTACACTGAAATGGGGAAAATTTTATTGAACAATCAAAGTGGTAAACAAAACATGACAATAACAACTTCCAAATTAACAAAGTATTCTTAGCAAAGAAGATCAAAACCCAGATCTGTAAGTAATTAGGAAACAGAGAATCCTCCGCAAACAAAATACTACATTGAACTAGTCTTCGCTTCACACCAGACAACAGTCAATGATAAGTAAAATCTAAAGGAAAAGCCATCACAGTTCTAAGAAAACAGCCAATGAATCCCTACGAAATATAATAAGACAATACAAATCACTGATCACAATTCTTTCTTTGGTACACTGTTTGATTTTCCTACGGCTTGTTGTTGCTGAACAGTTTTCTGGTTCATCGGCAACATCCTTCTCAGTGAATGATAAACAACCGGCCATGCTACGAAAAACACGAGAAAACCGACCAGGTACAATGACTTGAGTGGCTGAAATGTGCGCAATCGGAATCGTTTTAAGTCGTTAGCATAAAGCTATAGAACAATGTGTAGTAATGTTTACCCCAATCCAGTACTTCGTCTTCACAAGGCCAAAACATAGGAATCCAAATCCCATACTGTACATGGTAGTAACGCGACCGAAAACCCAAACCAATGGTCTAACCGCAGGCTTCGCAATGAAATCACGCCAGCAAGGAGTACATTCAATCAGGAAGTACAGCTGCAATCATCATCAATAGCTCAATGTATACTAGACTTTACGCATAAACGTATATCACAACACCTCCAAGCTACCTAAATATTGTGGAAGGAATTCTTACTTGTTCCTGAGCAATCACGCATCCAAATTCGAAAAAGAAGAGGAGAAAATATCCTAGATGATATCCATGCCAAATTGCAAGGTAAAACAATGCCACGATGTGAGAAGCAGTCTTGCTCCCGAGCCAACGCAAGCGACGAAAGATATGGCTATAAATAAACTACTAGCAAAATACCTAAAATGGCTACACAATACCGAACATACTTCTTTATAAACTTGTTGGTCCCGCAATTGAACGATTGAATAGCTGAGGAAAAATCGTGGCCAGTTTCCCAAAGCCAAATATGCACATCACGAACGCCATCCCATCTAAAATTGAGGTAATACATAGTAAAAACCGACCATGGTATCTAATTCTTCCTACAAAGAATCTATTAAAAGTAATGACTAGTACTCGCAAGGATTCGGCTTCTACATCGTCCTTAAGCGGTCGGTTACTTTTTCATTCCTACTTTCGTTTATGATTTCGGTTTTAACATCTCTCCGAATCAACTAGTAGGAAGACCGAGCGAAGGATTCGTCACCGAAAACACACCTCCCTCTGATCCACATCGTGGTGAACACCTGGATACGTCCTTGCAAGGTTAAGTCAGGACTCCAGGGAGGACCAAGTTGCCCGACCAGCAACAGGCCAGCCTCAGTACCCCGCACACTGGGTGCTCCCGTCTATGACGTCAGGCGGTGAGACGACCGGTGCGAGGCCAGAAAATCTCGGGCTACGCAGGATGTCATTGGAACAGGATCTGACGAACACACGCACGATACGCCATGGAGATTGTTTCCTACTATGAACATATAATGCCAGAACACTCTCCACAGACGCCGATCTTCACGCCCTTCTAGTAGCCGCAGAAGCCGCAGATCGAATTAAATTTCATGTGATCGCATTACAAGAAACAAAAATCAAGAAGACCGACATACGCCAACTAAACAACGGGATCCTTGTGATCCATGGAGAAAGAGCCCCGTCACGAAATGTAGGCGGCGTAGACTTTGTCGCTCACCCGTCCATCGTCCATCTCGTCGACTCAAACGTGATCCTTTCCTCTCGCATAGCCGTCCTCCGTCATCAACTGTCGCATCATAAGAAGATCACTAGCATCACACCGATCGACGCAACTGATGAGTACGAATTAAATGCGTTCTACTATCAGTTGGACGAAGTAATCCGCAGTAATAAAGCATATCATAAGTTTGCTGTTGGAGACTTCAACGCCAGAATAGGAAAGGCCAAAGAGAGCGAATTCAGGATCGGAAATTTTGGATGAGGAGAAAGAAATGAGAATGGGACTGTCTCGGAGGGCTCGTGTCAGCAGCACGTCTCTTCCGTGGAAACCCGTTTTTCCAGAAGAAAGGAAGCCGCCGCTGAACATGGGAGTCTCCCAACAACATGACTCATGCGGAAAACGACCATGTTCTGACAAACAGAAGATGGTGCCTACCTGACAGATCGGTAGTCCCGTCATTCTGTACTGGTTCCGATCACCGCCCTCGCGCGAAGAATCGATTCAGCCGCAAGCTGGAAAAGAACTCTCTTCATCGACCACGAGGAAAAAGTCTAGCTGCATATGACGAGAACATTCTGACCGAAGTCCTATCCAAGCGTGACTGCCAGATTAAAGAAGACCCGACCGAAAACTACGAGCTGCTTGTCGAAAGCCTGAAAAGCTGTACCGAATTCGCCTCAGTTCCTCAAGCAAGAAAATTGGATCTCATCTCCGTCACTATTAAGGAGTTGCTCGAAAAGAGAAGGATACTGTAGCTTGTTCCTACCGCAACACGTTTAACATGACTAGTAATAAATGCCAGCTGCAGAAGAGCTTTGTGAGAAGATCTAAAACGGAACAAACAGAAGAAAATACTGAAAGCAGAAGAGAAAAGAAGCAGTCTGAAAAAAATTCCGTTGGGACTTGCGTGATTACAATGTTCTGCTGTCAGCCCTGATGAACGAAGATGGGATAGTCAAAACTTCCCGCCACGATATAGAATTAATAGCGGAAACGTTCTACACCAACCTTCTCTATTCCACAATCCCCGTCGTGGGCCCTAATTTCCCCGGTGGAGAAAAACCACCTGGAATTCTTTCCTCGGAGCTTCGAGTTGCGATAGAAACCATGAAAAGAGGCACAGCTCCAGGACCAGAAAATGTCACCGTCGACTTCCTTAGAGTGGGAGGCCACAATTTATATGTACTTCTCGCAGATCATATAACAGGCTATCTTCAAAAGGAAAAAAATGCCAGACCAGTGGAAAACGCCGCGCACGGTCATCCTGACCAAGAAAGGAGACCGAAGGGATCTTCGTAACTATCGTCCTATATGCTTGTTGAGTGTCATCTACAAGCTTTTCACGAAGATTATCCTCTCGCGCATACCAACGACATTGGATGAGGCGTAATCAGACGAGCAAGCAGGATTTTGGAAAGAATTTTTTCGCATGGACCACATCCAAACCGTGTCCAAGGTCATCGAAATATGTCGGGAATACCACTTGTTGCCAGTCCTAACCTTGTCGGCTATGAGAAAGCGTTTGACAGTGTCGAAACGAATGCAATCCTATCAGCGCTCGTCGACCAAGGAGTGTACCCGTCCTACATAAGGATTCTGTCCGAATGTTATCGGAACTTCATTACCGCGCTGCAGTGGATAATGAAGTCACTCGATTGGGATGATAAAGGCATACGTATTGATGGAAAATTCCTATCAAACCCAGTTTTGCCGACAACATTGCCATCTTCTCAAGAAGTATTAGCGAAGCAAAAGTGATGATCAACGAGCTCAACGAGCGGGGAAAAAGATCGGACTTCGTATAAATCGAAAGAAGACCCAGTTCATGAAAAACCCATGGTGCGATGGCAAAAAAATTGAATTGGTTGACTCTCTCATTGCAGAGACCACCTCGTACCTTGGGCGATCAAGAACAACATGAAGAAGGAACTAGATAGAAGAAGGAAAGCAGCTTCGGCCGCATTCGGGCCTCTCAAAGAAGCCACCGACCAACTGAAGGACCCGAAAATTCGCGCTCATCTCTTTGATTCTACGGTTATCCCAGCGCTCTGTTATGCTGCAGAGACCTGGGTTGATGCTTCAACTACGTCAAGAATGGGTATCAAAAATGCTTCGCACTACTCAAAAAGCGCTTGAGCGATGTCTTCTGAAATATAACCGGCACTCTCAATATGTAGCCGGAATGCGAAGCTCTGACCTTCGAAATCTGCCACATTTTCAAGATCCAGGAGAGTATACATCGACAGCGAAACATAGATGGGCCGGTCACATAGTGAGAAGAACAACGACAGATGGACGAAAAGATTTGTAGAGTGGACTCAGCGAGAATTCAAATGTCTAGGACGACCACCTACAAGTTGGGCGGACGTGTTTGCAAACAAGGCTAGCTATGTCCGCAGCTGCAATTACTTTACAGATCACGGTATGAGACTCGCAAGCGCTACCATGGCCGAATAAAACCGTCACCATGGATTACGATTGCGAGAGAAGGGAACGAATGGCATACGTGCTGGGTTCCGCACAGCTCGTGAAGACGGACCGTCCGAGTATACCAAGTAAGCAACTACTGGTACTGGCACAACACTTCGACAACAACCGTCCAAACAGCCCTACAGTTCTTTCACTTTCAAACAACTTGTCTAATATTAGCACAACATTTTCTGCTACTTCATAGTTTAGGACATTAGCGACAATACCTGGTTATCGCTGTCCGCCTAATTCTCCGCCCATCAGAAGTAGTGAACTAAACGCCCATTTTCTATTGAGCTTGTTTCTCAAGAGAGACATCAAATATGCTCTTCAATAGCAACAGTTTTTGTTGTCCTAATGCGAATTAATGAAAGTATTCAGCCACGTCAAGAACCATTCACTGGTATTCTGCAACAGAAATACCTCGGAATCTTCAATTTTGGTACTCCAACCCTTGTACCTTTTTCATCAACAACTGTCTCTGAGACTTAACGAATGAACTCGTCAAAAACTTCTTATTCAGAATACCACGTGCAGAATATAGCTTTTCTCGGACTACGCCAGCAGCATCTGTCCTATTTGTAACGAAATGATACCTACTTGATACTTGAATGGCCCGTCTTCACTAGCTTTGTGGGCCGAGGCATAATCTCCACTTCTCGGAGATTTGCTGGTTAAGCCCTTGTAGGTGCCCGGAATTCCGAGGTCAACCTGGCAAAAGTCTGCTCCAGGTCTTCACCACTACAAGCAGTCGCAGCCCTTGTGGATCAGAGGGAGATTTACCACCATGCGACTTTAATACCAGGAAGGTGGTGGATTCTGATATTGATTTACTCTTAGCTAGACTTTCTCATGGAAACGTCGGACTCATTCTCAATTTGGGAGACCCTGCTAGAGGATGAATCCCGCGCTGTGCATCATCACCCTACACCCAGAAACACCTAGCACCCACGATGAGGCGGTAACCGTTGGGAGGGTAATTAAATGAGGAGATACAAAAGTAAAGCAAAAAAACTATACATTAATCCCAACCAAAGAGAAAAATGCATTGAAATCAATGTGCATTTTCACGAATTTCATTAAAGCGCGAAGAAGATATTTCATCTTGAAAGCGAAAAACATACGCAGCATTCTCAGAATGTCACTACCGCAATAAAACTCCACACAAAACATATTGAGACGTAAAAATAGAACAACTAACAAATAATTCACAAGCAAGGCGACACATCTATAACCTATTTTATCGCTGATTTCCAAGAAACGAGTAGGCGACAGCAAAGTCTCTATTAATAACTGTCCCATAGTACAGCTGCTGTTGACTGCATTCCATTCGCTAGATAGGTGGAAAAACCGATACAATTCTCTCGTACAATTTCCGTTCGAAATTCTGCCCATCTCCATGGTGTATTCCTTTGAACAGCTTCTTTTTCCATAAAGTTTCGTTTCAACGCAAGCCACGCTTCAAACAACTGATTTCGGACATCTTATGTTCAATATCCAATAGCGCACACCCAATCAACCGTATATGTACATAAAAGGATAAAAGGATGAAGCTTGACGTTGATCAACCCCTAAGGGATGGGCCATGCACTCGACCTCATTACGCATCGTTGGAGGTGATCGAATGTATGTCTGGCCTCTACAATGATTCGCCGCGGCCTACCGATGTATTGAGCCAGTGCTGCTACACACCCAGACGAGTCCGGTACTAATTTGCTGATCCCGGAGAGATAGAGGGCTTGGTAGCCCTGGGTATGAAGATCGATTCCATGTGTACTGCTGGAACCTCCGACAACTACGCTACACGCCCCATATGTATGTAACGTCTAATAATTTCTTCTCTTAATTGCGTTGAATAAGGTACTACCAGCAACACCTTGATAGCGCACTGGAAGATGATGAGCTCACTTTCGCCTTGCCCTCCCAACGTCCAGAGTTTCAAGGCGCACGTAAGCAAAAGAAGAACCGCAAGCGTAGAGGCGGATTTTGTCTGCTCTGTTTCGCCGACGTTATTTCAAACTTTGCAAACCGCTCGTTTCCTGCTTGAGAGTTTTGTTGTAAAGTCGTTCACCATACTGATTTCTCAACATATTTATAGCACTCCAGTGAACGTGAATGAGGGACTAAGGTACTTCGAACAAATTCGTTTTTCATAAACTCCATCTCTTACTGGCTGATTAAAAATCGAAGGTCACAACTCTACTGTAAAATAAGTCATCAAGAGGATAAAGTGTTTGCAGGCCATCGATTCTCGCTACCATGTTACCGCAATCCAGTAGCCGAATGACGTTCCCGAATTATGCGATCGCTCGGTTGAGTCCAAGAGCATTTCCAATTCGATGAAACTGAGACGAAGTGGCACCGTACATTGTTGGATAGTTCAGTGACTTTATGGACTTGACACGATTCATCATGATAAATTATTTCCAAAATACTACATGCACACGTTAGTGTTCTTTCATCCAATGTTCTATCAAATCTTGCATGGATGACTCGAGCTATTCACTTGAACATGACAGAAAGCAAACATATTTAGTTACATACATCATGTGGGTCCACACTCCTTCAACAACACAGTCATGCTAATCTTTCATAGATCTGACCCCTTCAATTCTTCCAAGTAATTGCGAAAAGCATAGCCGGTTTGTTGATGAGGACTTGTCGCAGTTTGGAAGGGGGAATCGATGCGAAGAGACATCATCAGTAACATGATATCTAAACAAAAACCCGAGCAGAAACCATGGATGATCACCTCGCTTAATTTCTGGACGCAGGATTTAGGTGTGCTATACACACAAGAGAACAACCATCTTGAGTCCGTATACGACGAAATCCCTGCGTATTTTGCAGATGCAAATATTTTTTAACGCAGTTTTTTTGTCCCGACGCTCCTTTTTTCTAGTAAAATAATCTAGTGCATGGTCGCTTATCTGAGTTAATGTTGAACTTAGAGAAAATAGTGGTATCAACTGATAAAAATCCTATTTATTTTACTGATTACCCGAATTACTCTTACGTGATCAACTTCGATGCAAAGAAGAAATTCCCATCACTATTGGTCAACATGAATAGTCGTTGCTTTCATGAGGAATCTGGACATTGATCACCGCTTCACCGTAGCTTGATGTTGTGTCGTAGTCGACGAAGACTGTTAGAGTAGGAGCTGCACTTCGTTGTTGCACTTCTCAAAAACAATTAATAATTGGTACCGTAAACGGCGGTGGTAGGACGATATCTACCTCTTTGAACAAATACGACGAACTCACTCTGCTCAGGTTGCACCATTAACTCCTAAATTTAAAATTCCTACACTGAAATTTACGTGCTGTAAGTGCATATAACCACTATAGTTCTTACGTATTTAGGCAGTCCAGAATATCTCCAAAATTTTTGCAGCTTCTTAACAATCGTGGTAGTCAATGCTGCCGTACGGGTGAATCTTTCGGGATCACAGGAGTTAGTCCTTTCAATTTTCCTCTTAGAAAAAAAAGAGCAACAATGAGAAAAGGATAACGCAGTGGAAATGATGTCGGTCATCATAAGCAGAGTACTAGCTCGACCACCCCCACCTGGGCCCACCAAGCATGGTATCCTTTCGAGGTCGGGAAATTGGTACCAGACTTGTCTAAGGCCATCGGAGTCCTTCCAATACAGGTGGGAACGCTGTATCACGGCTGTTCCGAGACTCCAGTTATTATCGATTCGCATTCAACGACATTCATAACGAAGACGAAAGTCCTCAAGCAACAACGGAACCCACACGCAAAACAAAGGCTCGTTGGACACTCGTGGGTGATGGATGGCGGTGAACCAATAGCATGCAAGTGCTGGGTCGGCATAGTAGATGTGAATACTGGTTATGTAGAATAAATAAAATAAACAGAACTAGCTATCAATACTCTATCAGAGTAGAAGTGCAGCTTAATCGTTAAAAGACTACTTCCAATTACCTTTCATACACTTCTCAGTCACTTGGTTGTAACTTTTAGTCGAAATAACGAGAACAATACAATTTTCATAAAAATAACCACACAAACGTAAACGTATGTTTGTCTACTTACAATATAGGAGGTGTATACGAAACCATAACAAATCGAGTGAATCCAAATTCCTGAATCCATCTGTCTTACGGCAATACATTGTTGGGAAATTTATAGCGGATTTCGACCTCTGTATTTAAGGTGGCATATTTCAGCCCAGTAAACTTTATTAATGCAAATAAAAGCATTAGAATTCACATATCTCTGCCAACGAGAATTATGTCTATTTACACAGATTATTAGAGTGTTCGACAATTAATAAAAACTTTGTAAATTGAGTCTCCATGTATGAGAGGTGTGGGCTTCCCAACGGTTCACCGCATCATCGTGGCTGGGCGGGGTACCTAGGTAATTGGATGCAATGTACGACGGAAGAATTCATCACCTGGCAGGGTCTCCCAAGCTGAGAAGGAGTCCGGCGTTTCCATCAGGGAGCCTAGTTAAGAGCAAACCAATACCAGGACCCATCACCGTCCTTGTATAAAAGTCACGTGGTGGTAAATCTCCCTCTGATCCACAAGAGTTGCGACTGCCTGTCGTGGCGACGAACTGGGGCAGACTGGCCTGCTGACCTCGGTACTCCAGAGAACCACAATGGCTAACCTAGCAAAACTCCAAAAAATGGAGATTATGCTGAAGCTCGCACAACCAGTGAGGACGGACGGTCCCAATGTCCAAGTAAGTTCTCATGTATATGTTTTGGCAAAAATTCTTTTACAAATTTCCCACTACCATATATCATTACGAAGCACTTTCTCTGAGTATAACCGATGTGCAATACAAATTGTACTTTTAATAAATTTCACAGCATGGCAATTGCTATGTCAAAACAAAGACTTCGAAAAAACTTATCCATACGGATTCAAAGTCGGACGTACAGCAGCGCAAACGGTACGAAATATTGACGAGGTATAGGGCCGAGAAACTGTTAACCAATGCAAAGTGCAATCATGTTAGTTACAAAAATCTCTTCCTGGCGAATTCGACGTTGAAGATGAGAAAAGTTGCCTATTCCTATGACAATGAACTATGTCGGGCATCTTCGACTTTCCAATTTTCTTTAGATACCCCGGAACACTTGAGGTGCGCATATAGCGTTCTTCTGAAAGTTCTCGAACAGTTGTGACTATATCTACTTCCATTAAAGTGTTGAAGATATCGTCGTCAATAGAAAACGGACGTCCGCCACCTCGCTCATCTTCAAGGTCGAATTCAGTGTAACGAAATTTTCAAAACCAACGCTGCATTGTGCGCTCGTTAACGTAACCTTGGATTACCACCATTCCTTACTAATGTTCCAAGTTGTTTGCTCTGTGTACGTCGAAGTTCGAATTCGTTCTAGATTCGTACAAATTGGTATTTTGACATGTAAAAATCCACAATTTAAAAATAGCTAAAAACGGAATTTATATTATAATTCGATTATATGAAATGAAAGTGGATAAAGTGAGCTTTGAAATGACACCTACTAGTACAGTAAACAAGAAAACTACTCCTAAAATACGTACAAGAAAAATGGAGTTCCAAATTCAACAATAATTTCCGAACCACCTAATTAAGCCATTTTTAACCCCTATCCGACATCTGGAGAAATGGAACATGCTTCCCGATTGGTCTAGACACTCTTCATTGAGAGAGATCCAAAAAAGTACCAGTACAAAGTACAAAAAAAAAGTAAAAATTTTATCGAAATATAATTCACACACTAGATAAATTATTAACAAAACAACTAGACTTTTTAAAACAGTCACCTGTCGTTCCCTTCCTTATCTTTGCCATTGTAACCAAGCCCATTAAGAATCGCTGAACCCTCCTGGAAACACAGAATATCGGTTTTCATTAAAGAAACAGGGATAAAGACTTCGGCGTTTACCAATCCCTGAGGAAGGTATTGCGCATACTATTCCATCGAGCTTCGTAGAGATACACTTTTAGTCTATCGGTACTCATAGTAAATAAACAGCAAAAACACTAAATATAATTGACCGGCACATAGCTATACGTAGGTGCGTAGTTCAATCTGATCTAAATTTATACAGCATATGGTAAAAAGATGCCAGTACACAAACCACAATGAGCCATATACCACAATAGCGGTACATCGTAAGCCGGAACCATATCACTACCCATGTCCACCGCATCAAGAATGACATATTCTGAAAGATCTGTGTCGCTTTGATGATTATCAACCATTGGAACATCCTTCTCCATTAAAAAGTCAACAAAAAAACTTTTGACGAAACTTCCTGAAGTCCCACTTTCTATTAACCTCGGCATTGATTGAATATATCTTTCTACTTCTGTTCAGCAAACACGAGGTGCTATTTTATTTCTTTATTTACGCACAAGCTGACGTTTCGGCGGATTTCGCCTTCCTTACTTACTTCCTGAAGTATTTTTAACAGACTGGAAGTACATTAGTACTACATTTCAGTTTTGTTTATTACCTATTCTTTTTCTTTACAACGTATTGCGTGAAGTAAAACCGCAAGGTGCTGAGATGTGAGCAAAACTCGGCACCTCAGTTGGGCTTCGAATCCGCGATTACCCTTTCCAGCAGATTTCCGCGCTATACCCACACCAAATGAGGCCTTTGTTCTGTTTTTCTCTTAGCCAGTTTCTTTCTTTCTTTCTTTTTCTCACCCTCTCCCTCTCTCTCTCCCTAACAGTGCTATCAGTAATCAGCAGCAGACCTCAGTTAGTGTAGTGCATAGCACGTGAGCTCCAGGAAAGGATAAACGCAGGTTCAAAGCCCACCTGAGGTGCCGAATTTTGCTCATATCCTAGCGCCTCTGTGGTTATATGAATATATTTAGCGGCGCAAACATCAATAATAATGAGCCATAATATTAAAAAATATAGTTGTTGGAAGAAGAACGAAAAAACCCTTACAAAGAATTCCTGTGAATTGAAAAACGTGTTGGGAATCCAAACTGCTCCCCACTGATTAAGTACCACAAATGTACAACCACCAATAAATCTTCCTAACGATGGCATCAAACTATAACGAGTAACCAACTATTGTAATTCTAATAACTGTTTGACATACATTAACAAAACATAATAGAGCAATAAAATTTTTAGCCCTAAATGTGACACAGTGGGCACTGTCGAAACCGCCGTCAACGTATAATAGAAATGTCGTTTAAAATCTGACAGTACTCACGATGACTGCCTGGGTTGTCCCTTCTCATCTAACCAATCTCCATTCACATACGATCGAAATTTGCTTAGCGAGAACTGAGGACCGCCAATTGTTCCTGTGTAAAAAAGACCATACGCGGCCACCTCAAGTAGCCCGGGCGGATCCTTGATTGCTGTTTTCTTTTGATCTGCTCTCAAAGCCTCCTAGAATCGATTACAACTAGAATCATTGAGATATGAAAGCAAGAGGTGAAGTCAGTTACATTTTAATCAATATGGAGCAGAACCCACGAAATGTGCACCGTCGTAAATATCCATGATTAGTCCTGTAAACCTCAATGTCATGATACAATACGGTGTGGTCCACGTTATATCGTACGCTTCTGACTCTGCATACCAGTAGCCAACAAGCAGATATCCCTAAAAATGTCAAATTTTCACCGAAGACTCCCCTCTATGTCTGTCTCTACGCAATGTAACATTAAGCGAATCCAAGTGTCAGCTGACAAATCTTTCTTTTTGCGATATTTTACCTTCTCACTTTTGTACTTGGGCAGCCTTTCCCCACTGGTTCCGCGACCCCAGTATAGTTTCAGTTTCTCTGCAGTTTTGCTGGTCTAGCAATTGTGGTTCCCAGGAGTCTCAAGGTCAAGCTAGCCAAAGTCTGCCCCAGATCGTCACCACCACAGGCATTTGCCGCTCTTGTGGATCAGAGGTATTTTGAAGAATCACTGCGGTATTTTGACCAACACATTAACAAAACAGAGTCCACTATGAACAAGCATAAAAGTGCACCTAGCTAATCATGTTGTACTCCTTAAAACCCCTTAACAGCTACAAAAGAAAAAACATTCGTAGGATAATGATTGGGAATTCGATGAAAATTTTTAAGTAACTGCTGCTACCCTAGAAAGTCGATATCTTCATCTCACGAAACTTCTGTCTAGAAAAATAGGATATACATAAGTCATTCCATACAAAGTCAAAGCAGGTGGTAATATTTTCTTCAAAGTGTAAAACTAATATGTGGTTCTGCAGAGATGTATATAAAACGAGTGAAGGTTTAGGACGTAACCGTAGATTTGTGGGGAATCCTGATTAAGGTGCACATCAACGTTAATGGGTTCTCAAAATCTGGTTCAAGAAAAAAAAATCTGAAGAAACGCCATCCATTACTGTGCAAATGCTATATCAACAAGCGTTGCCGACTCATTAGAAGCACAACAATCTCTTCCTACTTTTGGAGCGCAAAAAAAGCAATAAGAATCACAATGAACTTATGGTAAGTGTATCGATGTTACAAGGTAGTGTATATGTATAGCGCAATAATTACAGGTACTCTACAATACACACGTGGTCAGTGGTTCGACTACGCTACGCCTCACGGTCTCACCAAGGCTTCCATCCAATCAGGTTCAGTAAATTGGTGCCAGATTTGTCTGGGAGAAAAGCAGCACGTATTGGATATATTGGTAGGCAACCGCTAGTCATTGTACAGGCGAGATATACATTCAATCACCTTCAACAATTCTTGATAAAGGGAAGTGCATGACGCATCCCTCAAGAATTCACCCACACCGAGAGCTCTATCCTTTATCCCTCTGCAAGCATATTTCACGAAAAGGCTATAGGTCATAGCAGCGAGAAAAATAAGTGCAGCGATATGAAGACAAAACACCACTCACCAGGAAAAAAACATGAGCTGCTATAACCGATTCCGGTTTCCCACCGACAACACGTATAGTAATGTATGCCATAAGAACACTGATGAAAGCATGTATACAATCATAACCTATAAAAAGCAACAATAAAATGTGTCTTGATATGCCCGGAAACGCTGAGAGATCACATGTTTCATAAATATCGCAGAAAATGTGTTACAAGAAACTTTTAGAAACCTGTGATGCAAAAATGTAAGTTCCATATAATGACGTAGGACCAACAGTTATTGTATAAGCAATGTTCTAATCGACAAACCCGTAACCATTTAACAAACCTATAAGGATAAGGAAACCGTGTAGCGCACTGGACGAAGGCTCCCTGCAACAAACACGTGGAATCGATCCTCGCACCCATTACCCACCTAGCCTTCCATCCATCCGGGGTCGGAAAATTGGTAGAAAACTTTTCTGGGGGATAGCAGCACTGGTTTGCTACGTCAGCAGGCCACCACGAGTCATTGTAAAGGCCAGATATGCATTCGACCACCTCCAAATGATGCTTAGTAAAGTTGAATGCATGGCGCATCCCTCAAGGATCGCTTAACACCGAGAGCTTTTTAATCATTATAAGAATAAAGAAACTGAATGATTCAGGGTGGTTGGCGAAGGTGCATGTGCGTTAAGAATTCCGTGCACTACATGAAGAGCCTGGGCATTTGTGAATAGTTTCAAATAAAATTAGACCCAGGGGAAAAAACCATCTGAAAAAAAGCGTACCGTTATTGAAGACGTAAAGAATTACTCCAATCACCACAAAGAATGCATGCTGAACAGTTGTTGATTTATTGTAGAAAAAAGAACGATGTATCACCGCAATAGGATATCCTGGAAAACTCCGGCAAGTCTAGACAGAAATGGTCAATACGAGAGTTCCTTGATCACGAAAACACTTATTTTTGTTAAGTAAATATACTTCCTATATATACTTCGCAAAATAAGATCAATTAAGTAAAATTACGATAAAAAAGTGTTGCAAAGGAACGTATTCGAAGTAGACCCACTTAGAATGTTTTTTTATCGTTCAATGAGTGAATAAGGCCAGGAAACTAGTGTAAGGCCTTAACTCGCCCACTTCACGCTCTAGAGATGCTTCTGTTCTTTCGAGGAGTAGTAATGTTTGCAAAGAGGTTATTGTATTCCCACATAGTGAAGATGAGGGCTTATCTACTCAGACCGACCACGAACTACCTCAATGTACTTTATCGTTGTTTCACAGCACGTTTTCGGCGGTATCAACATAGAGAATACAACTTGAATACACGAAAGTACAGCCAAACGCAGATATGTTGAAAATATAACTAGGCGAAAACGGAAGGCATAAGGGTTAAATTTTAATTTAACTCGATGGGAGGCGCTCTGCAGTATACATTGGGTCGATCTCCGCGCCCGTGGCTCACCAAGCCTTCCATCTTCTCTCTCCATCTCGAGATCTGCATATTGCTACCAGGCCTGTCTGGGAGGATAGCAGCACTAGCCCGATACATCGGTAGGCCACCGCGAGTCATTGTAAAGGCCAGATATGCATTCATCCACCTCCAATGATGTTTAATGAAGTCGAATGCATGGCGCATCCCTCAGGGTTTGATCAACGCCGAGAGGTTTATTCATTTTTATTTTTTCAAAATTCAAAATTAGAAGACGCATATGCCAATTCTTAGAAAAGAAGGGACACTATCATTTTATGAAAAACACCTGGACGGTTTTGGTTCATGTTTAACCTTCCTTTACGTCACTTTTTAAAATTTACTTTGATAACTTCTTCCCAAATATTCACAAAGCGACGTTGGAAACTAAAAAATATTCACTACTGAGAGAGAACTACTACTATAACGATTGTACCAGCCACAATGATGCTGAGATATTTGCAAATTCCCGGACCGCAGGTGTCTGTGGTGGGGAACGAACGTGATATTACCCTCAGACGCGTTCACCACCACACTATGCAGATCCTTCGTCTCGTCTGTCTCTCAGGCGTGTTTTCTATCTACCAATGCCATCAGCAATCTCCCGTCAACAGGATTGAAAATTGTAATAGGCAGTAAATAAAAACGTTAATATTGCTTCAATATTGTCCAAACTTGCATCGATCAATAAAAACAAGACATACCCGCTAGTACACACAGTAGAAGACGTAATCCATCTTCACGAAGGCTAAGTAGATCAGCAATGGTCCCTACTACCATCTGAATTCGATCGATTACTGAAAATTTAGACGGTAATTGATAAATTACACAGGAAACGTTGTATATTATACAATATCGGGCCATTAAAGCTATAACTCAGGAACCTTAAATCCTTAAGGAAATAGATAGGAAGGACTAGAAATGCATGTGATGATGATAAAATGAAAACTAACAAGCAGACGACATGTGAAATTGTAAACACATGCAGTTTGATGAGCCATAGAGAAAAGCTTTTGAACGGAACCTTGACGATTTCCTTCCCAACAGAGATCTTCGTAAATTCCTCTATTCCTTTCGCGCAGAAATAGTCGTTTGCAATTACTATTAAGAGTTCCCTAGTGAAGGATACTTATCAACTAGTCCACAATTATATTTTTCACAACGATGATTCGGCGAGCCAATTGTAACCGGAGTGCGTCTTTAGACGCGTTGTCAGAGCACGGATGATATTCGCTTGGTACTTCAGGGATGTGACAGGTTAACAACAAAAAAAGAGTAGAAGGAACACAGGATTGGTCACAGAGGTCACGTCTGCATGTCGGGGTAGATCGAATCTGGCTCATAAGGCAGTATACTATCACTATTTATAACCACAAAGATGCTGAGATATTTGCAAAACTCCGGACCGCAGGTGTTTGGGGTAGGGAACGAACGCGCCATTACCTTTTCCGGAGGCCAAAGCGTTCACCACCACACCATGTGGGCCCTTCGTTTCGCCTGTCCTTCAGCTAGTTCTATCGATCATTGCCATCAGCAATCACCCATCAACGGGATTGATCTGGGCAGCCCAAACCGGCATTGAGCCCGATTAAGCTGTGACTGTAGTTGAAATCACAATGTTAACTCTTTTATTTGCTGCCTTCTACTACTACCTGGGATGAAGAAAAAGCCGATAGTGAACAATGCTGTTTTTTAAACAATACTTGGATATGTATTCTTTCTTGATAACGTTGCACGAGGTTGATAAATATATTTATTTCCGGCTAACGTTTCGACGTCTTCGTCTTCCTCAGAGCCGGTGATCCGAGTCGATGGTCCATGCTTGTTGATCGCCTCGACGTTGCGTCTTCGCCTTCGTGTCGAGCCAGATCTTCCTCAGTGAGCCATCTTCTCGAATGAGGCATCCTCACTCAGTGATGCCCTTTTATACACGATGCTGATGGTAGATATATAATGACAATGTCCGGTGGTAACAACTTGTATTTCTTCCGGACATACATCATTGCGCACATCGTGCAGAGGTCGGTGTATTATCAGCTAGCACAAAGCGTAGTGATAAACCATTGTTTCCCTGGATTCCCGATGTTAGCTAGACCAAAGTCTGCCCCAGGACGTCACCACCATCACCAGACAGTTGCCACCTTCGTGGATGAGAGAAATTTGCCACCATGCAACTAGTTTGATACCAAGACAACGGTGGTTCCTGATATTGGTTTACTCTTAGTTCGGCTTCCTAAAGAAAACGCTGGACACCTTCTCCGCTTTGCTGTTGTGAGGATGAATCCCCTCATTGTAGTTCGCGGTCCGACACCCAGGAACACCTTCCAGCCACGATAAGGCGGTAAACTTTTGGCAGCGTATACTATATGTTTTTGAAATACCCTTCATACAGAAAATTTGTGTCCACTTCGACAATACACATACTTATGAACTGGTCTTGTTGAGCTGATGCGAGTTTCGTATAATTTGTCGTTCTTGCTGTTGTTGTTCTCGTTGTTGTTGTCGTTGTTATTGCTCGATGGCTGATGTTTCGGCGATTTCGCTTTCCTCAGAGCCGTGATGTTGCGAGTGGGAACACGAACACAATCACAATAAATATACCATACCAAGATGGGAAGTCTCACTCGCAACATCATTGCTCTGAGGAAGGCGAAAACGTCGAAATGTCAATCATCGACCAGAAACAACAAAAACAACGACAGCAACCGCTACTTATAGCAGCCTCGCATCAGCTCAACAAGATCAGTTCATAAGAACATTTAAATAAATATATCGATTATTTATGCCGAGGTTTATAGAAAGTCGGTCTCTTGAGTTATAAAGAGATGCACCAGCAAAACACATACTGTTATCATATAGTGCTTATTCAGAACAAGAAAAAAAAACAAATGTCGAAAAGTACAGTAATGACGTGGTTTACTGCCGAGTGTACTTTGTACGGTCTCAAATTTGTTGGCAAAATCTTTAGTAGGTGTGCTACTAACATTTATTTTATTCTATTTGATTTGATCCGTCTTCACGTCAACCGTGTGGATCCCAGAACTTCTCAAATTCGATTCGTTTCCTCGCATACATTGTCAACGAAGATCATCCAACTTTTACGTGTGGCTTCGGCTGCTGCTTGAGGATTTTAATTTCATCCTGAGTGTCGTAGAATGTTGGTCGAGCAATACTACTTGGATATTTTATATAGCCGGGCTGGAGCGCTCCCAATTGGAATGCAGAGAGTGATTTTTCTTCCCTTTTGTCACTTTTCAGACAAGTCTGGTGCCAAGTTCCCGACCCCAGAGGAATGAGAGGCTTACTTGGCCAGGAGCGGAATCGAACTAGTACCATGCTCGTGATGACGGACATCACTACCACTATGCTATCCGACCCTGACGTTAACACTATTTATAATATATTCGCTATTTTTGGTTGTTCGATAACTACCGTAACCATTCTTCGATAATTAGAACAACAGTGAGTTGAAAAATACTTGGAAATTTGGGGATTTCATAGATTTACAGGCGAGATTTTGCTCTAGTGCTATAGCAGAACTTTACAGAATGCTAATTTAGGTTTATTTTCCTAAAGTCAGATTCCCGAACAACAGAAATCTATGTTGTTGAAGAACTGCAGAGGTAGTACGTAGATGCAAGTGTCGCCGAGCAGCGAAACACCCATGTTCTCTCCCAGTCATGTGACGCTCGTTAGATCAGCACTCGGAAAAGAAACGGATACCGAAAGAATGGGAAACAATGGGTTTTCGCTTCAATCAATAACGAAAGTAGAAGTGAAAAGGTAAACAGATAAAAAACTGTGGAAAGAAAAAGTTAAGGAGTGAAAGTAACAGGGAAGTAAAAGAGCGAAAAAGTAGAAAATTAGCGGAAAAGTAAGTAAGAAACTGGTTAAGAGAAAGGTATAGCAAGGGCCTCGGTTGGTGTGGTGGATAGCATGCGAGTTCCCGGAAAGGATGATCGCCGATTCGAAGGTCTAACCTTAAATAACGATGGATCGGTAGACACGAGATCATCGCTGGATACTAACTTATGCGTTTTGATAAGTAAGCACATGACGGGACAAGTTGGTAAGTCAATTTTGAGATGAGAAGTAACTGATGGTTTTAACCCATCCGCTCTTGCCACTTTAACCCATTCGTTGTTTAACTTTCGGTATTGACTTTTAAACTCCTTCTCAGACGACAGACGGTAAAGGGAAGCATCTTCAAGTCGATAGTCCTATGTTTTTCGATCTTATCAGCTCTCGCGCCTCCCGCATACCACGTTTTTTATTTCATTGAAGTTGGAGCCGTATCTCTTGGCGCGACAGTGATTGAGGACTTTGAAAGTTTCATTCGTAAACGTCCAAAATTTAATGTCAACTTCATTATTGCCCTCTTGTTGCCTAAAAAACGGTTGAGGAAATGGTGGTACTGGTATTGCCCCTACTTTTTTTGTTC